CTGGGGAGCTCAGAATTGCCTCCGACCATTTGCAGTTTTGTCAAAGACAGGTCACATGATTTTGAGTGATTGCCACATTGTGTGACTTTCATCGTATGTCCTGTCTGTGTGTTTGTTTGCCCATATATACCACAAACAAAACAGTGACAGTGAAACACTGTGGGAATGCCGACAGAAGTGAAAACTGCCTTTTTTTTTATTATAACAGCTTTTTTGTTTTTTCGATTCGAAAACTTCCCACATGAATATATACCTATTTTGTACGTATATATATGTTTATATAGTTATATTATCGATGTATTTAAACCCAAACTCAACTCTCGGGTAAACTGAGACAATATATGTAGATACTTATATACAGAGGTGTCGGTAACGGTAACAGTGTCACGAGTTCAATGGTTTTTTTTCATCTCAAATAATACATTATTTTGTTTGTTGTTCAAAAAACATAAAAAGAGGCGGTATACCTCAATACAGTTGGTTGTGCTTTTTACCTTTTTTTTCCGTGCGGAAATCCCCTCGGATACCACCTTTCGGTGGCATGTCGGACTCGAACCGTCTAAAACCGCACGCCGTCTAGGGTACTAATAGCCGGGGAACCAGGTATACCCTACAAAGGAAGTCCCTGGTGCCCCGACAGGTCGTGCTTTTTACCTGACTTCAATAAAGAAGGCTGCATAATTTTATTTTTAAAGACTATTATTAGTTGCCAGTACCGCTATTTGTTTGGTAATCGTCAGAATATTCTAGTAATATTTTTTATTTCATCATTATTAGATACAGATTGTCATACGTCATACAGTATAACTGTATACGTGACAAAAATGATTACCTACTTATTAAAATAGTATCAAATGTATTAAAATAATAGATAATAATAATCTAATGGATTAATTAATAATTATACAACACATACTTTTATAAGGTGTGAAAGTTACACTAAAAGTCGTGTGAAGAGTAGGTACCCACTGAATAACAACAATTTCTGCGCGTATAATATACTAGCTGACCCGCGCAACTTCGTCTGCGTCTCTCAATAGTAATAAATTTTCTCCGTTTTTGAAACATTCTTCATTGGTGCTCCGCTCCTATTGGTCTTAGCGTGATGATATATAGCCTATAGCCTTCCTCGATAAATGTGCTATCTAACACTGAACAAAAATTTCAAATCGGACCAGTAGTTCCTGAGATTAGCGCGTTCAAACAAACAAACAAACTCTTCAGCTTTATAATATTAGGATAGATTATTTCGTCTGTAATGCGGCCAAAGCATACCTAAGAAGGCAAAGATTAAGACAGGGAAATACCGCAGCTTTACAGAAAATCACGCAATTCTTTTGTAGCTTTTTATCGAGTGAGGGAAGTTGCTGGAGCCAAACCCCTCCTCCTTCTAATTTTTTTTTTACAAAAAAGACAACTCCCGCATTAGGAATATATTCTGTGTCGCGGGGGACTTTTACAAACTTACATGAAACGGACACAAAGAATACCCAGACTCAGAACAACAATTTGTACTTAGATCACACAAAGTGTCGTCCCATGTGGGGTTCGAACCCACAACACTCAACGTAGTAGTAAATTCTGAGGTGAAAACTCACACGGCGTCCACGCGACTTATTCGCGATATATTCCTAATGCTAGAGTTGTCTTTTTAAAGTAAATTAAAAATATATTGCTGTTTTTTAATCGACTTTTATAGAATAAGCAATTTATTTTGCTTCATTTGTAACTAGCTATCTTAATTTGGTTAGGTTGTCAAAGCTGTAAAGCATAAAAAAATTGTGTCCAACCGTTGGCCACTAAGTTCCTTTCCGCTGTCGCTGAGTAATTAGCTGTGTTATCACTTGGAAGCGAGTTCGAAGTGGATAGTGTAAGTTTTTACTTTTTCATTATTTTCGTAAGTTAAATGTTTTTTATATTTCCATTTAAATGACGACCAATGTCAGTTGTGATTTATATCCCGCCTATTTATACTTATTTAGACTATAATAAATCGAATACTACTTTTTTTGTTGACCATATAGTTATATGGTCAACAAAAAAAACATTGCATTTCAAACTTCTAAGTAAAATCTTTACAATAGACACGTAAGTTACCGTATGGTCTAACATTTTTATTCTAATGGGCATTTTGGTTCGGTGATTAGTGATCCATTCTACTAAGCCGGAGGTCCTGAGTTCGATTCCCAGCTTGAATAGAATTATGAATACTTAGAACCGATTATGGTAAGAAAAATATATTATATGAGGTCACTTTATAATAAAATACCTGATGATATTACTAAAAGTGATAGCTTGTTTAAATTTAAAATGAGTTTAGAAGATGACATTAGCAAAAAGTACTGACACTAATAAAATTGTGTTCATATCTTTAGTTTTATACTTATTACTGTAAAGTGTATTGTGATCACAGAGATACTTAACGCGTTTATTTTGTGTTTATTACATTTTCTCATTATGTAAGTAAATAAATGTCTTTAAATCGATCAAAATATTAATGAACACCCACCATTCGTAATGTCTGACACATAATAAATTCTGTGTGTTCATTAATATTTTCTAATGTGAATAATTAATCCAGACGCCATGCAAGGGATGGAATAGAATCACAATCACATGTGATAAATCATATGATAAAAAAAAACGTCGTAATTGGATGAAAAGAATTTTGATTGATTTTAATGCCATTTATCTTTGTCTATGACCAAATCACAATCACAGTGACTTGAACCAATCATTTCATCATATGAATAATATATATAAGTAGCAATAATTTCCATGTCTAATGGTCATACGACTGTAGGCATAGGTTGGCAAGCTGCAAATACTTTATTAATTGTTATTATTCATTTTCCAAAAACACCTGACCCCAGCATTCTCCAATTTACAAGTAACAATGTCAAAAAACTTAAATATTAGGTATTGCATCTTAATAAAAACATAACTCATACAAAAAACTAGTTCAATAAAAAACACAAAGGAAGCCATAGGCGGCCATCTTTGATATCGCACGTATATTTATCACACATTTGATAAAGATACAACTACATTAAATATCTGTGTTTACACAACACGTGAGCCAAACGCATGTGAGTTTAGCTATAAATAACAAAGTGTAAATTAGTATTTAAAAGTGTAAGTTCTAAGTGAAATAAATATAAAACATATAAATATAATTGCTAATTGTGATTATAGCTAATAATTACGTCAAAATGCGCTTGATTTGCAAGTCAAATAAGTTTCTTTTTTTAATGCTAATCGTCTTAAGAGTTGTATAAAATGACAGCTTGTGATGTATCAGTTGTATGACACATCTAGGCTATCATTGATGTTTTATAAAGTGGTATAATCAAATTGTATACTTTTAATATTTATCTTGACAACTAACTAACTTACAAAAATATTTTCTTAAAAGGAATGTTAAATAATTAATATTAACCGTAGTGAAAGAGTATTATAGTTAATTTAAAAAAAGTTTTAATTATAAAATGGGTGTCATAGCATGAAATCTGTTATTGTGGTGGATTGTTATTCAAATTGTTACAAAAATGGCATTCTAATTTAACTCTTATAGTGAAACCAATAAGGTATAATTGTTTTTGTACTTTTGATTTTCGGGACTGAACTAATCGGGACTTTATTCAAACTGGAACCTTTTTGTTTATACAGCGTTTCGAACTGATTGCTAACTAATCTTATTTATTCACCTTTGTACTTCATTACTATTTTTGTCCCCATTTATGTATTAATGATAACGAATTAATGATTTAACCACCTAGTCAGATTAGTTTAATTTGATTTAAACCTTACCCAAACTGACTCACTGGGTAAAGGTCTTCGGTGTTCTCCAAATCGTTCTATGTTAAGAAGGATTTAGGGAAGACCTTTGCCCTTTTACGAGGGCCATCTCAAACCAACCCCTTGCACTATGGGTCATGGTCGTCGCGCCACATCTGTCTGGAGCTTAACCACGACACTGACCCCTGTTCTTTTAGTCCCAATAGTTTTTTTTACTATTGTTCAAGGTCATCAGTGATTCACTAATAACATTGGTAAGAAAAGACATACTACTGTCTTAAGCGTTTTTCCGTGGGAGAGCAATTTATCTGCACAAATGCCCCCTTCCCCCCTCCCCCTCCCGAGTATGGGGGGCGAACACAAAGCACCCCTATATATACAATAAAAAAAATCTTGAAAGTTTTAATACCGGACTTCGATATATACCTTGGTATATTTAACACGGAAACGGATATCAAAAATTGATGAGTTGCAATCCATAGGAGTGCTTCGAAAGGCGATGGAAATGTGATACAGGAAGTCAGGGAAACGCGAAATTTGATTTGACCAACCGCGTGTCCTAGTTTGCCGTCGGATGAGAGGATAAGTGAGATTATGATAGATCTTAGACCTAGCTGAGGAGACACCACGCACCAATAACATCTTCATGATTTAAACCATGTTCAGAGTTAGTTATTCTGTTATTACACCCAATACGTACAGAAAACTGCTTCATTTTTAAGAATCGCGTGCAATAAAATTATTTCGAAATTCAGTTCCGATCTACTCTTGATCTCATAAAAGGTATTTGGCTGTACATGGACTTTAGAATCGAAGATTATCTTTTTTTACTTTCCTTAAATTAATTACAATCGAGAATTATACTGTTCAGATTTGAACTGTTGCTGTTAATGGAGTTTAGCGCCATCTAGTTAATATAAACCAAACTAACATTTGATTTTCCTACATCGCGCAAATCATTTTTAACGATTCTTATACTACGAGTTTTTAGAAAATGCTGTAATTATGTTAGTCATTTGCAGCAATTTCTAAAGAAACATCGTTTTGCAATACGAGGTCTAATGAAGGACTTTTTTACGTTTTGTAAAATTAAACTGTTAGGTATTTAAAAAATATATTTCAAAAGACAAGCTTAAAAACGATTGGATGACAATAACAGTACAGGAAACCCATAAGTGAAAAAAATCACTCTAAAAATCAAAATGGCCACTGCTCTTCCGTCAACTGTCAAAGGGAAAGGGATGGAGAAATATATAGAAGACGTAAACAGCGCGAATAGTCCCGAAGAATATGAAAGTAAGGTTTCAAAGACCGGCTACTCTACGTCAAATTGGATGAAGGTGCTTTTTAACACATGCGAGGAAGAGTTCCATTCTGAATGGCTTACGGTAAGTCTACTAGCTATAGACTATTATTAAGTATTTTGTGACGTAGTGTTGTCATTAAATAAATGTTAAAAGCCAAAGCTGCTAGACACCTGTCAACTTATATACTTTTTTATGATACTGGATGCAAACGAATAAACGGCTGGCCTGCTGGCAAGTGGCTACCGCCGTCCAAAGGGTGAATCCTCGAGGCCGCGGCCCAACGATTGATGTTGGGAAATTGTATATAATATGCTAATCGGCGAGAGAATTGTTAATATCGTGATACAGATACATTCGTAATTACTCCGTAGTTCGGTGTGTTGTCGTAAGGGGCTGTAGTGTTATTTTTTCTCTGTATGTGGAAGTTGCCACAGAACCATATAAATAAGGAGCGAATAGGAGATTTTTCCTCCGGTAATCTCACTCACTCGGTGAAAAACAAAGAATGAGTTACTTCACTCAACACGGGCTTTTGACGATTAACTCCCTAAATTCATTTTCTCAGTAATTACATACCTACGTCACTCACAATTTATTGTTTCTTTTAAGACGGACACTGAAACTACGTTAGAGTATACATGAAGTCCATTTCATTACAATTTACTTTTTCGTTTTTTTTGCATGTTATCTGTCACCAAGCTTTACTTTTTAATTAAACAAGCAAAAAGTATAATTTCTTAAACTTTTTTTTACGTGTGGAAACCCCCTCGAGCAGGCCCCCACCGTGGTATGCGGCGAGGTGGTGTGCCTCAATCGGACCGACTAAAACCACACGGTGTGCCACTTTGGGCCTGTAATAGGAGGGATCCGGGAACTGCTGTTTTTTAATTTAGGACGAATTATGACATCCGGTCCCTCCTAGTGCCCGCAATGACGCGCGCACCACCTTCGGGTACATACTCTATTTAGGCGATGTCTGGCACACTCGACGTCGCATCCTCGCAGCTGGCCGTTATGGCGGGTGAAGGGAAAATCCGTCCGGTCCACCCGCGGCCACACTTAGTGTGGCATAAGGCGCTGGTAAGCGCGCCTCCACCGCCGAGAATTGGGTACAAGTGAAAATCATCTTCCTGGGCCCTCTCCGCCGCCTCATTCTGCGGGATGACGTCTTCGCAGAAGGATGCGACCGCTTTAAAACAACTGTCACTACCGGCCATGGAGCGTATACTTAAATGACTGCAACGAGGACTCGACGCTGCGTCGCCCAAGCAGGGCAAATTGCCAGTGTGTGCTGAGCCATGTCCTCACTGCAATCGCAGTGGTGACAGGCGAAACTCAATTCCCTCCTAGCGACTGAGTGCAGATACTTCCCGAAGCAGCCGTTCCCGGAAAGGACCTGCGTCAGTAGGAAGGAAAGAGCCGCCCTGCCCAATCGAAGATGACCGGCTGAAGCGCCTCCACGGCGGCAAAACCGGCACGTGGAGTCTCCAGCCGGGACGAGCATTATGACATCATGGCACGGCATGACTCGGCGAGCGGCCTTACGCCACTCACATACCTCTTAGGGCCTTTAATTTTTTAATCTATCTTAGGCATCGATAAGTCAGGCCAATAAACTGTTTTTGTTTCTTAAAAGATTAATTATGAGGATAAGATTTTTTCATTATTAGCACTTGAAAACATACATATTATCATAATCTAGATAAAATGGATTATGATATTATTATTATATTTACAAGTCTGATGAAATAATTTTTCTAACGTATAAATTTAAATTTCTTTAGAATCGTTGTGATTTGAAACTCGATGAAACGAAAATGTGCCCCGATAAAGAAACAAACACATAAATGTATAGGATTAAGTCGGCGAGAGACTAAAATAGAATACATTACACATTATTTTTAATATAATATTTTGACAGTGTGAATATTTTATCTTTTTATTTAATACTAGACTAGACTACGAAAGAAATCGCGGGTACCAGACCCGCGATTTCATTCGCGTGGAATTTGATAAACGCTGCCTTAGTGGGTTCGATTCCCGGGCCAAGGCCGAAATTTTATAGGGTTTTTTATAAGATAAAAAAAAATCAGCAGTTTCACTTCTGCCGTGTGAATTGGACACACACACTTTTTTATTAACTGTGGGAGAGTTATGCTTCGGCATAAATGGGTAGGCTCAACCGGAGTAATACCACGGCCTCACAGAAAACCGGTGTTACGCAATTCTTTCGCTGCTTTCCACCCACTCGGTGTGAAGTGAAGTCACCGGATGCCCAACGTCCAACCTAACCCTAAATCTGGATAAGAGGGTCAGGGTACAAAGAGTGGAAACACACTTGTGTCTATTGAGCTGCAGGGATCCATGGGCGGTGGTAGTCCCTTTTTGTCAGGACACCGGCTGCTCGTTTACCCCCTTGCGTTATAAAAAAAAACACAAAAAGTAAAGTAACAAACACCCATCCATCCTAACAAACTGACCTGTTGGTCTAGTGGTTAGTGACCGTGACTGCTACGCCAGAGGTCGTGGTTTCGATTCGCACCCTTTTTTTTTTTTTTTTTTTCCGGCCTCAAATCCCCTTCGGATACCACCACACGGACTCGAACCGACTAAAACCGCACGCCGTCTCGGGTACTAATAGCCGGGGAACCAGGTATACCCTAGAAAGGAAGTCCTTGGTGCCCCGACATACCTCGGGTCATCTACAGACGAGTAGACGACCCTCCCCCCCGTGTCTGAACCCCATGTTCCCTGTGCTCCCTGGAAGCGAGCGCGCTTCGTAACGCGCTCGCCGCCACCCCGGCCTGCTTCTGCTAGGGTGACAGATGGCCTCACCTGTCACCCCCAGGCCTGCGCTTATGGAGGACGGAGGTCGTTCTGCGACCTCCGCCGCCGAAGTCGCCTGCGGTACCTGGCCCGTTCCCGGGCCTGGCGGGCCGGGAGAATCCTAAACCTCTTCGCGAGCATAACTTGCTCGCAGAAGGAGACGGCAGAGTTCCACGCACTCTCGCTCCGCACGATAGCCGCAATCAGGCTATCGAGCGAGAGAACTCCCACTCCAATGGCCGCCACGAGGTCTCGCCTCTGCTCACGCCGGGCACTCTGCCAGCGTGTGGAGAGCCGTGTCCACGGTCTGGCCATCGCAGTGGTGGCACCCAGGCGTTGGCTCCTTGCGGATCAGACACAGAGGACAAACAATTGTGTGGTGATCACGGTCATTTATTCTGTGTCTGGGTGTACTTTATCTATAATATGTATGTATTTAGAAATATGTATGTCTGTTTATCAGCAGTCTGGTTACCATCGTACATTAAAAAAAAACTTTTTCATTTATAATACTCGTAGTAATTATATTAGTTAAAAAAATATTTCGTACGTAATAACAACATCAGGGTTAGTCAAAATTACGTTGAGAAGATTCATCTCATTCGAGAAGCATGTCATCAATAAGAAAAACTCAAACAATTCTAGAAAGAGAAGTTATTTCTGTTCACTACTCTTTAAGATTTAGTTCTAATTTCGTGACTACAAAACCAGAAGACCTGTATCATAAAAAGATCGCTTTGTCTATGATCATTTATATATCGTTTTTGTTGCCACAGACCGATGAGTACACAGCTCTGGCGGAGGAGAGTATGGAGGACGCGTGGCGTGTCATTAACTTGCCTGACTGGACCCTAGAGAAGAAGGGCTCCCGCAAAGGTGACATTGTGGAGTCAAAGAAGACTGAAAAATTTGGGAAGGTGTATAGATTTACTGTAAGTACATTCATATACCTAGGCATTTATGTATTTTCAAAGGATTCAGAGGTGTGTATAAGACACCTACGTGTGATTAACAGGAATTGGTCCTTCACAAGGGGCAAGGTCTATTGCAATCAGACGAACACGTTGGGAAGAAGATATGGGAAAATGGGATATATGGGAGCATGTTGAAAGAGAATATTAATTAAGAAGACAGTCAGTTTCAGAAAACAAATACTTATTGCTTATTTTCTTCTTTTCCTTTTTACAAAGACAACTCCCGCATTAGGAATGTGTCCTGTGTCGCGGAGGAATTTACAAACATATGTACATGAAACGGACACAAAGAACACCCAGTGGGGTTTGAACCCACAACACTCGGCGTAGTAGGAATCGGCGTGGCGACCGCTTAAACCACTACGCGATCGAGTCATACGAGTCACTCATACGAGTCAACAAAAAAGTCAATAATTTCGGGAAGTGAAAACAATAGCTTGAACAGGCACGAACAGACTGTTGCGGGCACATTAAAATTTTTATTTCAATTGTATTTTTTTACAAAAATATTATATAGTTACATCTACTTAGTAATTTTGTATCTTCTGTTAAGATGGCGGTAAAAATGTCACTTTTCGCGCGCTTTTCCAAATGAAGAATGACGTGACACATTGTCACGTATTTTTTTACCGCCAATAAGTACTAAACTTGACTGGTGTGGCTTTATCGGTATCAAGTTATATTTTGATATGGATATCTATTAGCTCTAGTATCATTAAGATAAGAAAGTGTATTATCAAGGAGCTTAGTAAAACTGTCCAGACGATTGGCGTTCAACGAACTTAAAAAAACACGCATTATGTTCGAGTTGTTCATATTCTAATGCGCATTTTGGCGCCAACTCCACGATGCCAAAGATTATTGGTTTCAATTACGTTCATTATTTCCCAAAATTGAGATTGTGTTCCCAACACAAGATCGCGTTCTTTAATAAAAGGGATTAGGCTATTTACGTCCATATATCAATTTTCAAATAGCAAAATTATTTTAAATTATTATTTCAAAAATTACTCTCAAATTATTTAAAAAAACATTATTATAAGAAAAACTAACTCAGCATTTAGGACATTAAACAGTAAAATTTCGAACAAATATAATATTTTTATTTATTGATTGTGTTTTTAGGGCATAAATTTGGATGACTTAGCAATCCAAAAATTCATTCACACACAGTTTTTTTTTCCGTACGGAAATCACACACACAGAGCTACCGCCATAACAGTTTTGTGTTAGCGTTCCTTTCCTGTAGTTCCGTCCGACTTTTTTTATACGTTCATTATTTGACAATAAAAATGGAGAGAAATAAACTCGAATTGATAAAGCAATATAAATTTATTTTTCTATCTTATTTTTAACAAAGCTAAAATTTCATAAATCCATTTTCAATGAAAACAAACCAAGAGTAAAGTGCGACAACGCGCATGTGTCAAATAAAAAAAAATAGAGATGTTTTTTTAGGTACTGATAAAAGAAGTAAAATTTAAATTTCTAAAATGATCACCCGTTTCTTTGCGTTTCAGGGCTTGGTGGAATGCCCTCCAAAGTTCATGTACGAGGAGTTTAGAGACAATTTCACAAAATTGCCAGAGTGGAACCCCACCATTTTGAAGACTGAAACCGTTAAGGTATGTATTGTGTAAGTGTTGTTAATGGAGCTAATCTTCGTGCGTGCTTGAGTGAGTGCGTACCTAATTGAGTGCGTGCGTGAGTAAGTGCGTACGTGACTGAGTCCATGCTTATGTAATTATATGTGTACTTAGACTATGTGTTGAATAGCACACAAGAATGCGGTGATACTATTTTATTAACACTTAACACAGACACGAAAACTTACACGCTTCACACAAGTTGGGTGTCTCCAAAATAAACACTTTGTACTATTTATATAAGATTGTTAGTATGTTTTCCTGGTATAAAGAGTCTCTGACCTGACTGTATGTATGGAAGTAGGTAACGTAACTTTTAATTTCACACCAAAATTACCCATGAATTAGTAAGAAATTCATTTTTAGTGATAAGGCCGCTATTTGTATACCGCCATTAATTTTATGTACTCTTGTATATATGATGTACTAAATTGCTTTACAATAAAATTATTCTATTCTATTCTAACCATAAACCTATACACAAAACAGAACAAGAACTTCTGTTGCGCAATGCACAACCATTTTTGTTACTTCGTAGTTCAAGTAATCTTCGTTAGATGGCGCTCGACTTAATAAAAAAATTTCAAAGGCTTACTAGCAACCGAAATTACTAGTATTCCCTTTAACCCCTCCAGCTAAGCTAAATTGCTTGTGTTAGGAGTGGGTTCACGTCGGAAGTTTACTGGTCAGGATTCAAACCCACGACCTCTTGATCGCAAGTCCAATGCCGTAACCAAAGCCGCATAAATGTCATCAAAATGAAATTATTCTTCAGTTTTTAACGCTATTAAATTTTAAAAGCCTGGCTGTATTGAATTATGTTCAAAATTTTTTCCAGAAAATAGGCCCTGGTATTGATCTATCTTACCAGGTGACAGCTGGCGGGGGCCTTGGTATGGTTGCTCCAAGAGACTTCACCAGCATCCGGCGAACTGCAGCCTTATCTGAGGATGGCAAAGTGGTGGATGATGATGACAATCCTTACAACTACATCACCTCTGGTTGCAGCATTTCAATACCTGGATATCCACCTAATAAAGAATTTGTGAGGTAAGGACTGTGTACCATGGGGATCTTGTGTCACCTAGGGTAAATTACTGTGCGTTTAGGCAATTCTGCCATATATATTATATAAATAAAATATACTATATAAACTTACTACTACTATATAAACTTTAGGACCCATAATATTTTGTGGCCGTGGTGCTCTTTGCTTAAAAAAATATCATAACTTGGTGTTTTCGTGGGTCACTGCTGTTGATTCTGGTGTGCAGGACTTTCAGTGGTGCGCTTGTGGGACGGGCGTTTTGATTGACTACGGGTGCTGATTTTGTCTCTGTTTACTGACTTCCAATTTAATGTTACGTGTGTATTTCTAATCGCGGATATTTGTAAATGGCCATCAGATGTTCATGTATTATATCTTATGTTTTTAAAATGCCAGCAGTAATTATCCTAAACAGATAAAATAAAATAAAAAAGGTGAGGACTGTCAGATATCTTCTACATGTGGCAAATTATTTTTAGGGTAGGCAAGAAGTTCTTCTTCTCAGCCGAAAGACAAGCTGTTCTATAAACACATTTGGTGTGGTGTCGGATTAAGAATACAGAGTGTCACCACCCTAATTCATCCCGCGGGTGTCGTAAGAGCCGACTAAGGCAGCAAACTACGCAGGACACCAGCACTGCAAAAAGAAGGAAAACTTGAAACTAACCCAATGCCAACCCGTTTGGCCAGCGTGGTATAGTAGACCAAACCCTCCTTTCTAAGGAGAGGCCTATGTCCAGCAGTGGATTGGAAAGGCTGTTGATGATGATAAATACGTTTACCGGTTCAAAGTGGTACCGCGACCTCACAAGATGTTAAGCAATTATTTCGTTGTAATTCATCGAGTGAGGGAGTTCACCGACGGCCCAACCGAAAAAAAAGAAGGTGGTTTCTCTAATCCTGGGGGGGGGGGGGGCTCAATTGCCGGCACCACCCTTGGGTTCCTTGAGTCCATGGCGATAATCACTTACCATCAGGTGACACATCTGCTCGTTTTAGTACATATTCTAATTTTTTCGTGTCTACGCGTCACCATTGAGACAGTCGTGGTGCAGTGATCGAGTTGAGGGATGAAGAATGCTTCTTCTTCTTCTCAGCCGAAAGACATCCATTGCTGGACATATTCCTCCCCCACGTTGTGCACAACGACCACGTATCGTTGTACCACCGTCTTCCGGTACGCGGTCTCTCTTTGATGAAGAACACAGTTGGTTACAATCATGATGCACCGTTGAAGTCGGAAACTGACGGAAAAAGTACAGATTTTTAATATATTTACAGCTAGACGTTGTTATTTTTTAGAGGTGTAAACAAAGTAGGCTGTTGGCTGTTGACTCCTGAAATAGTTCAAACGTCTGATGGCAAGACGGACACCTACACCAAATTCCAATGGCTCATGTGCTGCGACCTAAAAGGTATATTCCCTTATTATTTTGAATTATCGTATCAGGGAAGTGCACAATGATGATGATGAGCTGAAGTGGGAAGCTCAGGACTGAATGCGATGGAGGATTGCTGTGGACGCCCTCTGCTCCCTCTTGGGGACCTTAAGTCAAGTCTTTTGGCGTGAGCCTTTTACATATAATTCTAAATAAACATACTTATACGAGTATAATACTAAATACTATGTACATATTATAGATAAATTACACCCAGACACAGAACAAATGATCGTGCTCATTACACAATATGAGACTTTGATGAGAATCGAACTCATGCCCGCTTGCTTAGCAGTTAAGATCGCTAACTCCTAGACCAACAGGCTAAATGCAAAAGTTTGGATGAATATTTGTTACTCAGGAACACCAAAACGGTTGAACGTATCTAGATGAAATTTGGCGCAGAAATATAACACTTAATACTGCACGGATGGCGTAGTGGTTTAAGCGGTCGCCACGCCGCTTCCTACTACGCCGAGTGTTGTGGATTCAAACCCCACATGGGACGACACTTTGTGTGATCCACAAATTGTTGTTCTGAGTCTGGGTGTTCTTTGTGTCCGTTTCATGTATGTTTGTAAAGTCCCCCGCGACACAGGAATATATTCCTAATGTGGGAGTTGTCCTTTTAAAAAAAAAAATATTAAAAAAAAAAAATAGACGAAAGTTTCTGAGACCAATTTTGATAAAACTTGATATAAAGGTAGCTGACACCCTGGATTAACCCATAGGTAATATTCCCGTGAGATGAGCAAAGACTTGAAAATCCGCGAAAACAGTTATTTGATAAAATCGATATAACACTATCGAAGCCATGGGCAAAACTAGTATATACTAAACTGCTTTATAATTCCAGGTAAAATTCCCCTGTTCGTGCTTGACGTTGCGTTCGCGACTGTGATGCTGGATTACATAGTGCACGTGAGAAGATTCGCGGCAGATTGTAAAGCTAAAGGACGATTCTAAATTACCCTCACTGAGGGTGAAATTGGTAATTTTTGTTGATTGACATGCTGCTATAATGTTTCTGAAATTCTCCGTAAGATGGCGCTATACACAAATTCGATCTACCTATACAAAACGGAATCTACCCACATAATTATAGTTTTTTTAAGAAAAAGCTGTTTTTGATTAATTTCTTTCCTACCTAGTAAAATAATAATAAGTGTAAAATTAACAAACAAATGTATTAACTATAGAAAACATAGGAAGTTCAAGTGGTGCAGAAACTAATCCATACTAATATTAAAAAGCTGAAGAGTTTCTTTAGTTAAACACGCTAATCTCAGAAACTAATAGTTCGAATTGAAAAATTCTTTTAGTGTTGGATAGCCCAATAATCGAGGAAGCCTATACCAATAGTAGCTGAGCATCAATGACAAATCTTGCAAAAACAGGAAAATGTATTATTTTTGAGAGGAGAAGACGAAGTTGCGCATGTCAACTAGTATTTATGCCATTTAATACGAAAATATTTAAACCTGGAGTCTACTTTGACCATAGTACTTTTCTCGTCACTCGTACGTAGACACTCGACACTCTTAGATATATCTTTTATCTCCAGAATAAGCTATTTTGAATAATCTTTAAGGTTCTTCAAATTCCAGCTCGAAGGACCATGCCAAAAAATTTAATCTGTCTCAGAGGTGGACGGCGAGTAATTCAAAAACTAAATTAAGACTAATGACGTTAATGTCAAGTTAAGTACTTAAACATTATAATGAGGTGTGTGGTAATAAAAGTATAAATTTTGACACATTTTCTTGCGGCTACATTACTACTCTATTCCCAAAACTCGACATAAATTTGTGAAGATTAGATCTCACTATGTGGTCTGAATCTGTGGTTCCAACTCCAAGTTCCAAGCACAGATTAATGGTTTTCGAAAAAAAAAGTGAGAATTTATTGGTTGTGCTGTAAGTGCATGACAAAAAGTTAAGTTGACCAATTAAAAGTGTTTTTTTTTTACATTAGCGATGGCAGACAAGCAGACGGGTCACCTGATGAAAAGTGACCATCGCCGCCCATGAATGTCTGCAACTCAGGAGTCACAATCCCGTTGCGTTCCATCCAACTTTACTTTTTTGACATCTGTTTACCGCGCAAGGAACCAATCAATTCGCGCTTATTTCATTTAGAAAACACCCCATTCGGAATTGTGTGTGTGTGCACGGTGGGTCTCTTTTCATATTTCTCCTTCAATGCTTGAAAATATTTCAAATCTTTACCTATTTTATCAGGAGGACACGTTCAGATGATCTTCGAGCTTCGATGGTTTCATAGACTCATTGGTAAAAACTCTGTTGCATAAAATGCATATGGACAAGCGCTTGTCTGCCTATACTGGAACAAAACCAATTTAAAAAAATAAACGCTATACTGTCGACGTTTCTTCTTAGGTTCAGTTCTATGTTTCGTATTAGTAACCTGCCTGTAAATAAAAAAAACTTTGTTTTGGTAATCATAAGGCGATCTTACTCAGCAAGATATGGTTATTTTAACAGTATAGGATTACCTAATTAATTATTGTCATTAATAATAATATATCTTACACATCTCACACACGGCCGTCTGATCCCAAACTAGGCAGAGCCTATACTATAGTAAACAGACTGCTGATAAACATACTTATATATTTTAAAGAGATACATTTAAAAATAAATTACACCCACACACACAATTACATTAGAACAAATGACCGTGCTCATCACACAATATTTGTCCTGGGTGGGAATCGAACCCTCTGATTTAGCAGTCAGCGTCACTAACCGCTAGACCAACAGTCCCGTCAAATTAATTAAACAAAGTACTGCAAACTAATTCTAATTATTTAAAGCAATAAATCGCTTCATAAAACTCTATTATTTATCTTAATCCATAGTAGAGTTTTATGAATACGGCTAAATTGATTTTAACGTAATGTAAAACATTTTTTGGTAAATATTTTGATATCGCCGCGATTTTAATTATTTATTTATTACTTTGATGCACGTCACGGGTAGACGCGTACAATTTATGAAAATATATTTATAATTAAGTCATTTTACATTAGGAACTTGAAATATTTACAATCATGCAGGTCAATAATAATATTGTTACGAGCGAGGTATACAATAAATAAAAGTTGTCAGTTAATTACTTTTATTGCAAACACTCACTATTACAAACAAGAAATCACTATATAACTCGTTAGTCGTATTAGAAATCGCTTCGATGTTAATTCTCTGTGTCGTAAAACGATATTGAGTCGTACGGCCAACATGATGCACTGTTATAGTGCTATCGTAATTACTAGAATGATCCCTAGTGTTCGATAGTCCGTTCCAGTAAAATAAGACTTCCAGTATCAGTTAGCCGTTACTTGCAGTGCCATCTAGCGCTGAAAGTATCAGAGTTATTAATCACAATCTCAATAGTTGTACTTCACGTATTACTAGATGGCGCTGTTCTCCATATTCCATACAATTCTCAAACTATTTAATCCTATAGCGCAACAATATATCTTTCCTTTAGTGAACCACCTCACAACGGGTAAAAAAAAAAGTTCAACCTTTCTCGGCTTTCTGTTCTTTTATGGAAGTATCTAATAATGACTCTGTTCAGTATTTAATTTTTAATACGTACCTACCACACGCAAACATTACAAATATACTTATTACAATAAAAAATGAAAGTGTATATAACAAATAGGCAGGCAAAATCCTTACTACTGGCTGACACTAACATCGATTCAATTTACTTTTTTTTTCGAAGTTCCAGAAACAAATAAGGAACGTTTATTTGCAAGTCTCGACACGTTGTACTGAATACGGAATATCCAATTTTTACAAGTAACAGTCGCTGAGCTTTTAAAAATATTATCTGCCTACATTGATAGGTGAAGTCAAGCCAACATTTTAGTTCTTCACTATCGAAAGCAGATAAATTTTAGTGGACCCTCTTACGAATTGTGAACCCCAAGTTTTTGTCACGCAAGCGTAGACCCCCGTCGAGTCTCCCGTGGACCCCTGGGGGTCCACCTGGACCACCTTAGGAACTAAGGCTTTATGAAAAAGTTAATTAATAAATTAGGTATGGCGACGGATTAAGAATACGGAGTGTCACCACCCCTGTTCATCTTGTGGGTGTCGTAAGAGCCGATTACACAGGACAACAGCACTGCAAAGAGAAGGTAAACTCGACACAAACCCTGTACCAACCCGTCTGGCCAGCGTGGTATAGTAAGCCAAAACCTCCTTTCTAAGGAGAGGCCCATGACCACCTAATGGACTACTAAAGGCTGTTGATGATGATGTAATGGTGAACTTTTAACGGTGCTGAATTCATGCATATAAACAAGAAAACGATTTTTTGCATACTGCGTATTGAGTAATTTATTTTATTTTGTAGAATTCCTTTTTTTATGGTATAAAAGGTAAACAAATATCATTACTTGATGGTAAGTAATTGCCACCACCCGTGGACACCTGGTACTCCAGAAACATAAGTAAAACGCCTGACAAAAAAAAATAGCAAGGAAACTTACTCCGACTCTTTTTCCCAAACTAGGTTGGGGTCGGCTTTAAGTCAACTATAATACGGGTGCGCTTCCCGTATTAGGGTATACCAAGTAATAGGTCTTTACCTATGAAATTGAAAGTAGGTAATCACCCATGCAATCGACGCATCATGAGACCTTGCACCTACCGACTATTACTTTTTCCAAAATTTAGACAACTTTTTAGTGGGTAAAAAATTCAATTCCGGAGAGGTAGTACAAAATGCCTTTGAAGAGTTTGTTGCCTCCCGTCCAGCTGATTTTTACAAGAAGGGCATCAATAAACTGCCAATGCGTTGGCAAAGATGCGTCGATTGCATGGGTGATTACTTCGAATAACAGAAATAAAAAAGTTTGAAAAAATAAGTACTTTCACTTATTGCATACAAAATGGCAATTTCATAGGTAAAGACCTAATATTAACCCAAGTATTAGGTGATTTTGTGGGACAGCGTACAACGCTCATCAACATAAGCTATCGTTATAGTTGAGAGGCCTACTAGGTTACGCAAATTAGGTAGTTTCTCTTCTCTTTGGTACCATAAATAACGTAAAATAATAGTAATCACACGACAGCGCCATGTCATAGCTATATAATCATGACCACAGATAACGTAGTCAGGGATATATAACATAGCCTTGTGTTGCACGTACAACAGGTCAATAGTTATAAGCCTTTAAAATGAGATAGTGGTTAAATTTTGAGGCTTCAATACGCTGACCTGGTTAGGATTGCTTAACTTTGCAATCTGTTAACCTAACCGGTCACCAATTGCAGATTTTACCAAAACGTCTGCGCATAATTCTATTCTCTGTTTTTATGTTGGCTTCTTGGTTGAGGCCATTTACCGAGCCTATTCGTCTAGTGGTTCGTGATCCTCACTGCTAAGGTAGAGGTCGTGGGTTCGAATCCCACCGAGGACAAATAATTGTGTGATAAGCACGATCAATTGTTCTGGGACTGGGTGGAATTTATCTATTTTTTTATTTTCATTTTTAAAAAGACAACTCCCGCATTAGGAATATATCCTGTGTCGCGGGGGACTTTACAAACATGCATGAAACGGACACAAAGAACATCCAGACTCAGAACAACAATTTGTGAATCACACAAAGTGTCGTCCCATGTGGGGATCGAAAAATAATCTGAAAAATAATCTATAAACTTACCACGGCATGAAATAAATATAAGGATGCAAAAAACATGAAAAAACTACTTGTCAAGTCTCCAACCAATTAAAATTGAATGTTTTTGGGTCATAAGAATATACAGTTTAACAAGTTAACAAGCTAATCCTTCTCTTAAGAAAATATCGTAGGTACTTTTAAAATATCTCAAATATATTATAAAACTAGCTGGCGACTTCGTTCGCGTGGTATTTGAAAAGCGTTGCATTAGATTTTTTTGCCCGGTCCCACCGGGCAATAATTAATAGTGTTTTTCTGAGAGGAAAAATAGCCTGAGTTACTCCTTATATAACGTCACCTGCTTGTTTTTTTTTGCTGCTGCTTTGTTTACTTGTATATATTTGTGTAGATATAAATTAAAACATTTGAGTGATTGGAATGGAGACAATCTTTCCAAAACTACCCACAATTCTGAATTAATTCTAAGGTAGGTAATTGTTAGGTAGCAATGGCGAACCACGATGAACACTAAGTACATAGTTTATTAATTAGGACTTTTACACATATATGACAAAACATTAAAGTTTTTGCGATGTGGTTATTCGTTAATACGCTTATATATAGTTAACTAGCTATACCTTGCCACGTTCGCTGCCGCACATAGTGGTTAGATTAATGAGTATAAGGAACAAAACTAACGCGAAAAAGAGATAAAAACCATCCTTGAAGCAGGTTGTACATCGTGGCTGGACGTCTCCTAAATAGAGAATATACCAGAAGGTGGTGCCCGCGCAGTTGCGGGCAGGTGCTAAGAGAGGTCAGGATGTCTCAATACCAGCTGCTCCTGGATCTCTCCTATTACAGGCGCAGGGTGGCACACCGTGTGGTTTTAGTCGGTCCGATTCCGACACACCACACACCCCGCCGTAAACCTCGGTGGGGTGGCGGCCCGAGAAGGTTTCCACACGTAAAAAAAAAGGTTGTACATCGTGGCAAAATTTGAGCTCAATCGGTAAGAACTTTTTGAGGTTTTGAAGCGTACACAAACCAACTTAACCTTTTTATATATATGACTAGCTGTTTTCATGCAGCTCCGCCCGCGTGTACCTATGTCGGTTATCGCAGTAAAACTAGCCTAAGATGCTGGCTGATAATGTAGCTTTCCATTGGTGAAAGAATTTTTAAAATCGATTTAGTAGTTTAGGCGTGAAAGCGTAAGAAATCAAATCACTTTGACATTAATACTTATAAGTATGGATTACATTTGAACGGCTTTACTCAGATGAGCATTTCTGGGATAGCGACAAGAAACAAAGAAGTAAAAGTTGACTAATCCCACCCACACGCCCACCACTGTAACTCCTGTACACCAGGATCCACAGCAGTGACCCACGAACACACTAAGTTATGACACTCGGGAAGTCCCAGGAAGAAATTAAACTGTCTTGGAATTCGCAACGAAATTAATCAGAAGAAAAATTGGAGGAGTTGGAAATACAGTAAATCCACTTCCCTCCTCAGCAAAGCTTCGTCGATTCCCAAACCAGTCGACATTAATACCACTCATCAGTTTTATTCTAATTAAGAGTAATTGTGTAAATGATGATGATGATGATGTCCTCCTAGACGTATCCGTCGACGGCGACACCCTGTCACCTTTCAACAGCTCCGAGCTGCGCCCGTACGTGACTCGCAAAACCGACTTAGGTTTTAAATACAAGGTCACGTGAGCCACAGTGAACTTATGTAAATAATAAGTTTTAAATGTTCTTTAGAAAAGTCTTATCTAAATATTGCTAACAAATAAATCGTTAAGTAAATTGATGATTACTGATTATTAAAAAGCCCGACTTTGTGAAAGTGTACGGGTCAACATCATCATCAACAGCGCCTAATAGTCCGCTGCTGGACATAGGCCTCTCCTCAGAAAGGAGATTTGGGCTACTATACCACACCCTACTACCAAAAGCTTCATCTCACTTTGTAAATAGCCGATGCCAGACGGGTTGGTCTGTATCAAGTTTTCCTTCTCTTCGCAGTGCTGTTGTCCTGCGTAGTTTGCTCTATTAGTCGGCTCTTAATACCCCTAGGGGATTAATAGGGGTGGTGACACTCCGTATTCTTAATCCGTCACCACCCTTTAACATAAAATCTTCTTTCTTTATCTACTTCCTTCAGATTATTTGACATTAACGAAGATAGGAAGAAAACATTTTTTTTTTAATTAATTCGTCCCTCTGGCAGCGCTATACGCAAAGCTATCCTTAGACTTTTGTACTCTTTTGGATGAAGGGTAGGTTGTATAGATATGAGGGGAAATCGTAACAAAAAACAAACTCGTTTTCAATTGAATTCGATTATGGTTTGTGACTGCAAATCGTCAAATTAAAGAAACTGTTGACTACACAGTTTAAACATTTAGTCATTTTAATTAGAATAACATGTTAAATTATATTTTAAAGGATAGACGGTATCTTTAACTATTTCAATTTCAAATTCTTACCAAACCTTTTTAAAAATACCCACAGTTTTAAATATTTCCCTAAATAAGTCCACTCTCTCGTCACGGTAAAGTTTTCATGCACTTAAGCTAATATATTTTACAAAAGTATAAAAAAACATAAATTTTAAGCGAACCTTGGTTCATTTGATTCCCGAAACGTTTTAAAATGTCGTCAGAAGGTTCAGATATCGAGTTACAGTCGGCACTACCAAAAAAAACAACAAAAAAAATGCCCAAAAGTCCTTCAGAAGACTTACTAAAGAAGAAACAAGTGAAGAAAAATATAGAGACACAAAAAGAAGATACGAAGAAGTTAAGCACAAAATTCATGATTCACCAAGCCCTAATCGACTTGAAAAGTAGGAAAGGTGTATCTTTACAAGCTATTAAGAAGTATTTAACAGAAAAATATAATGTTGATACAGAGAAAATCAATTATATCATCAAGAAATACATTAAAAAAGCAGTTGAAGAAGGTACGATTATCCAAACAAAGGGTATTGGTGCGTCAGGTTCCTTTAAACTCGTTGCCTTGAAGGAGAAAAAAGCTAAACCAAAGAAGAAGAAAGAAGAGAAAGAAGGAAACGAAAAATCCAAAAAGACAGATAAACCTAAGAAAATGAAAGAAACATCTAAGAAATCTTTAGAAAAAGCCGTTAAGTCGAAAACTAAACAAAAGGAAGGCAAATCAGAAGATAAGCCAAAAAAATTCAAGAAGGTGATGATGAAGGAAAAGGTACCTACCGATAAACAGGTTGAGAAAGGTACGGAAAAAACAAAGAAAACAAAAATTACGAAAGCTATGCAAACTCCCGCCAAAAAGAGGGCGGCCATGTTGAAAAGAAAAAGTATCGGTTCGATAATAAAACCGCCAAAAATGAAACCAAAAGCTAAAACATAAACGGCCTATGAGTTTGTTAATACCTTTTTAATTGTAAAATTACTTATTTAAAATCTTAATAAATAATTTTAATTAGTATAATGTTATTTCTTGTCTGTAAAAATTTTGCAAAGCTAAACTTTGTGTTAAGTTTTTTTAAAGTTATTTTTTCAAGTAAGTATTTTTATTGTGAAATGTTTTTATAAACTCATTTAATTATTTAAAAATATTACAATGAACATTATAATAAAATAAGGCCCGTAGTAGCTAGAAGAAGAAGAAGCTAGAACTACTTACGCTATGTTTTAAAAACTAAATGTAGATTTTCTACATTGTAATGATAGTTGATTAGATTTTATTTGCGTACCAAATTGGCATTATTAAGCTTTAATTTTATCAGTCTCATTTTTATAAAAAGCTACTAGTAGCGCCATCTATACAAGCATCTCGGTAAATAGCGGAGTGATGAAAATTGTCTTTGTTATTATCTATTATTTAACGAGTTATGCCACGGCTTTATTGCGTGTATTTATTTCATATTTTTATTACGGACATAAAATACAGGTCATACTATACATAGTAGGCTGTAGGCTTCCTTGTTAGAGCCATGCTTCGGCACAAATGGGCCGGCTCGACCGGAGGTTACCAGGGCCCAAATCAAAAGCTACCAATTTGCAACCCTTGAGTTGCAGATGGCGGCAGTAACCATGAGGTGACCCGTCTGCTTGTTTGTCTTACCTCACACCATAAAATAAAAAGAAAACACTGGATACTACTAAAGGTCAATAAATTGAAGGTAGGTATGTATTTTGTTTTAGCAGTAACAAATTTAATCAATCGTCAACAGCCTTTACTATACCACCGCTGGACATAGGCCTCTCCTTAGAAAGGAGGTTTTGGCCTACTATACCACGCTGGCCAGACAGGTTGGTAAGGGGTTTGTGTCAAGTTTTCCTCCTCTTTGCAGTGTTGTTGTCCGGCGTAGTTCGCTCCCGTAGTCGGCTCTTACGACACCCACGGGATGAATAGGGGTATTAACAATCCGTATTCTTAATCCGTCACAAATTTACTACTAAGTAATTCAAGACAAGATCAATCATTAGTGATCATAGTAAAATAGTTCCAATAGTTACCGTTAGAGGCGCTGATATCGGTTTGTTTATGTGATCTAACATGGCGGAGTCTGAATATTTTGTTTTAGCGAATAATAATGTTCAAATGCTTAAGTGCAGTGAAGTATGGTCGCGACAACTTAAGAGAGCAAAATCCATATTCTTTGTTTATTTTTATTTTTTATTAAACCAATTAGGTAAACCTATCATTATTATCTGATATTATATTAATGATACGAACGATTGATTGATATAAGTATTATCGAATGTTGACGCTGAAATGATAGAATAATGATTAATTTTAGCTAGCCACATCAACTGTCACATTGAAATGCACACCGTTTTTTTATTAATCAATTGTACTTACATTGTATGTTTATATTCAGGTAGGTATAGATCCGGCTACCACATACCTACTTTCTTTCTGTTTTTTTTTTGACCGGATGGGAAATCCCTTCGGAGCTCCAGGACTCAGGAGCCAGGAGTACGTGGTGATTCCACTAAAAACCACCCCGACGGTCGGCCTCAGATGCCCTACTCTGAGAGGACCCGAACCATGTTATTTCAGGTCCTCCCCAAATTGACACCACGTCTAATCAGGCCCTATCCAAGGGAAAAACACTTGCCCCCTTGAATCGCGACGTGGCGGCCCAATTGCGCCTTAATGCAATCAGGCCGCCATCTTATCCCCACACTTACTTAATCAATATAATACTTAACTTTATGAGGAATTTTCTGTTTAGTGACGCATTAAAAAAACAGAGTGTCACCCCTATTCATCCCTTGAGTGTCGTAAGAGCCGACTAAGGAAGGAAAACTTGACACACTTGGAACTATACCAACCGTACTACTAATCAAATCAGAGCTAACCTTACATGCCTCTATAAGATAGATAGAATAGATAGGTACTCTTTATTGCACACCATAATTAGGATACATGCGATGATACATACAAAAAAAAAACAGTGATACAAGGCAACCTTTAGATGGACTATAAGTACTATACAGTAATATGTAGCGTGTTGTGCGCATTTACTACTTCCGTATATTAACTAATGTTTACATACATAATTTCACATACATGAATATACGAGTACATACTATTAGAGTTCATCACAACGAGTTAATACTAAAGGCCCCGTTAGTGTCGCTTTCGCAGCTACTCTTTTCACCATGTTACTTGGCACACGTAAAGAAAAAACTGTTTTTCATTTAATTATATTTATATGACTATCGAGGGATCACCTGTCTTGTGAGCGCCTTTTTTTAGTGATTGCGGTAACATCGAAAGTGATGAGCGGAAGCGCTGGAATCCCATCCCGCTACAACAGTAGATATAGTAGGCCAAAATCTCCTTTTAAGGAGAGGGTTATGTAAAGGAGTGAACTGTTAAAGGCTGTTGATGATGATGATGAATACTTAAGAAATTGTAAAACGAAAGAAGAAAATTACGAGCCACGATGACTTCGACTTCTTCGACTTCAAATGCGCCTCTCCTCAGTTCTTAAAATAATGATTCAATTGATACCTACAACTTACCATTTGGTCTAATAGTTACTGATGCTGACTGCTAACCCAGAATTCGTGGGTTTGATTCCTGCTCAAGACAAATAATTGTGTGATGAACACGATCATTTTATTCTGTATCATAGTGTCCCTAATTTTATCAACATCATCATTAACAGCCTCTACTAGTCCACTGCTGGACATAGGCCTCTCCTTAGAAAGTAGATTTTGGCCCATTATACCACGCTGGCCAGACGAGTTGGTGTAGGGTTTGTTTCAAGTTTTCCTTCTCTTTGTAGTGCTGTTGTCCTGCGCTGTTTATTCCCTCAGTCGGCTCTTACGACACCCACGCGATGAATAGGGGTGGTGACAGTCAGTATTCTAATGTACCCATAGGTAATATGTAAATAAGTGTGCGGTAATAGGCTTGCCACCTATTGTCTGCGTGAACGGGTTGTAGTCGGAGAAATGTAGACCTTTAAATATCTCTATCCAACTCCAGGGAAAACAGGGTGTAAGTATATGTTTTTAGTATTACATCAATTATTATTATCAACAGTTTTCCTCCATATCTCCTTGAGCTTCAAACGCTGAGTACTCAGAAACAAGCCATATCGCTCCTTCTTATCTTTTCCTTCTCAAACGTCTACCTCTGTCCATGTGACAATCCTTCTGATGCTTCTGTAGTTCGCCAATGGGATGCCAATTAGATATTTGTTGGATTATAGGAATAGATGGCTGTCAAGTCAAATCAGTATCTTTTAATAAACGTCAAAACACTAGACGCGGTACATTTTTGTATGAAATACTATTTCGTGAAATCATACCTAGCTATTGCCAAATCATGTATATTTAATGTTGATATCAAGATATCAAATCAATAAAAATATTCAGTTAATAATGGAGGAGAATTCAGGCTCTACTTTAAGATATTAGATTTAATGATGTAGGCCTCAAATCTAGGAATCTACCCCATTAATGCGACTAAAATTACACTCCGTGAACCTGATCGAAACGTCAGGAAATTCAAAAGCATGTGATACCTTGTTGTGTTGACAGTAAGAATCAGGTAAAAGGTAAGTACAGGTAACTATAGCTAGTAATCAAACTATTATTACTAGGATTTATTTTGACAGCTTCTTTTTTTCCAGTACCAAGTCTGGAATGAGGTGCCCGCGTATATTTTTCCAATCAATAGGGTAGATGACTGTTAATTCAAATCAGATCTTTTTATTAGATGCGATACATTTTTGTATGAAATACTATTCAATGACGTCATACCTAGCTATTTTCAAATCATTTCTATTTAATGTTGATTTGAAGATATCAAAAGAATAAAAACATTAAAGGAAGCCTCAGATTGTACATTAGGATGTTACATTTAATGATGCAGACGAAATAATTTAGTTCAAACCTAGGAATGCACCCCATTACAACCCTGCAACGTTGAATGAATAGGAACGAATGAATAATAACGAACGAACAGGTTTCTCTTGAATGAGCATGACCCATCCTCTTCTCCAGACATCAGCGTCACTATCTAACAGGTCAGTGGAAAGGAACAACATTATTTCATTTTAATTTATAACTGTAACGATATTGTCGATATCAGTATTGTCATTGGTAACCATGTGATTAAATTAAATAATAAAAATTCTCTTAAAAGTCTTTAAAATAAATCTTTTTGGGTTTTTTTAACCACACAACGTTGTGTTCATATGCGCATGTTTTTAACAAGCTTTTATTGGCTTGGTAAGTATGTAACGGAGTCTTCGAACATGATTTTGACCCACTTCAAAACGTCGAATTACTTAAATGTAGGTACTTCCCACACTTATCAAGGACCAATGACAATAAGTAAGTACAATAATTTGATAAATTTGGCCGATTATCCTGATCAGGATCTTCAGGATTAACAGCTTCTTCCATACCTAAAAATACGTCTTAATGAGAAAATAATCATCATTTATACCTAACTAAAAGTGTAATTAATTTTTAAACTAAAGCTTAAAAGAATTACATATTAGGTAAATCAGAACACTCTGTTTAGTTTGTATTAAAACAATGTTTATTTGGTAAGTAGTAGTTTATTGGCGTACGAGTAGATATAGTTCACCCGGTCATCAGGCAATTTTGCATTTTGTCGTTATCAAACCAAAATCTGATAAGTATGTGCACTTTTTTGAGATTTTAACATTTTGACTAGGAAGAGTAGTTCGCGTATCCATCTTTCGTAATAAATAACCGCTATGTGAATCAGCTAGAATATTGTCAATTAATACCTGCTATGTGACAAACCTCACATCACATCACATCAACAGCCTTTAATAGTCCACTGTTGGACATAGGCCTCTCCTTAGAAAGGAGGTTTTGGTGCACATATCAAAATTGTTGTTTTCGCGTTGCCATGGATACCTAGAGTCAAAGGAACAAGATAACTTGAAGCTCGAAGGCTAGTTAGAGAAGGATGGAGAAATTACTTTCTCGCGAAGTATGGCAGAGACGAAAGCTTCATAACCCAACTAGCTTTTGCCAGCGACTTGGTCCGTCCCGACATCAGACATCGTAGAGGATACGCTACTACCAAAAATAACGAAGTTTTATACAAATTTCCAACGACCATTTTGCATCCTTAGGGGTGGAATATGTGAAAATTCTTTCTTAGTGCACACATACGTCACCTAAGGAACATTTGTGCAAAATTTCATGCTTCTAGACCCAGCGATTGCAGCTGTCCATTGATCGATCGTTCAGTGAATCATTCTGTCTGTTTCTTCTTTAATAGATATACTTACCTATTTCTTTGTTTTTAATAATAAGTATTTTTAACTTTCCGTTATATTAGGTACTTATAACTATTCAAATATTAACATAAATAGATAGGTATAGGTAGCATTTACAGGTAAATTAGCTTGGAGAATTTTTTGCGTTTGTAGTAGTGTATGGTAGCGGACAGCGTAAACTGGTTTATTCTGGTTTTGTGCGTGTTTCCACTTTCCACTATCAAGTGACGATTTTTGCTTTAGATTGAAATATCTCGGAAACGGTGCGTCCTAGGCCAAAAATAACAAAAATTTTGACCCCCCCGTAGACCCCCTGTAGTTTTAAAAACCTAGATGAAAGGATAAAAAAAAATATTTTAATATCGGTCTCTCCTCTTTGAAGTTTCACTTCTATCGTGTGTGAATCGCACACACACCTTTTTTTTTATAAAGTCAAAACCTTTTTCTTTAAAATAAAAACTTGTTGTTATTGAAAACAAAAGTCAGAGTGTTGCTAGGGATAAGTATAAAATTAAATAGTAATGTTAGGATATCGAAACATTTTTGTATAGGCCAGAACGATATAGTGGAAACGCGCTCTAAGATCTGAGTAATATACACACCACTACATATGCAAAAATTTCTCGAGACTAATTTCACTGTAAGGGTATGTTCTTAAATGTGCGGAGTTGGAGAGTAGGTTTACTGATGAGGGTAGTCGTTAAATCGTGACGAAATTATTGCTATTAATGTTCATAGTAAGTCACAATAAGTCAGGAACTTATAGGTGCAATGACTGGCAAAGCAATTAAATGGGAAAGAAAATGACAAATATTCGGAAAAATGAGGGCCTTGCTTTTAGGAAATATCTTTAAATTTAATTTTATTTATTTCAAACTATATGCACTTTTGTACATCGGTGGACTTAACGCCCAGGGCATTCTCTTCCAGTCAACCTTTGGGTGGTATAGAAATCTTATAAGGTAGGTGCACAGACAGCCCCGGACCTACCATGTTTTCAAACCGGGGCAGTAATTTAATAAATGCGCCCCTCTCTCCAGCGTTTGAGATAAATAACTTAAAAAAAGCTCACAAATATATATAATGGTTGCCATTTTTCGTGATTAGGACATAACATATTTTTTTAAAACCTTGTTATATCATGATTTTGACGCCCCCTGAAACTGCCGTCCGGAGCTGGTGCTCCGGTTTGCCCCCCTAGATCCGGGGCTGTACACAGAGGTTACATATTATTACATGTAATCAATGAAAATATACACGGTTCACTACATACATAAACGTATACATAGACACACATAAGACACAACACATCACAAATACACATATATAAATATATTTATGAATATACATATTATATTCGAATAATACTATTCGATAATTTTCTATCCCATTTATGATTAATCAAATCAACTAACTACACAAATATTTGTCGAATACAAAATTCAAGAACATTAAGTGTTTCTTTTTCATACCACTGATAAGGCGAAAAATCCTTACAGTTTAGTACCTAATAATACCTAACCGTTTCATACACGACAGTTTGATCCCAAACTAGAGAAAAGCAGAAATGGTATCTAGACTAGGTACTGATGAAGTCCATCGGTTATAAACCAACCCGTCTGGCCAGGGTTGTAAAGTGGGCCAAAACCTCCTTTCTAAGGAGAGGCCTATGTCCAGCAATGGACTATTACAGGCCGGTGATGTGATGATGATGTGAATATATAAATTACACCAAGACACAGAACGAATTATCGTACTCAACACACAATTACCTATTTGTCCTGGGTGAGAATCGAACCCACGACCTCCAGCTTAGCAATCAGGGTCACTTAACCGATGGACCAACAGGCTCATCAAAGTTGAGTAGGTGCACTTGTTGATGAATCTCATTAGTCTACTAAAGACATTTGTTTGTTAATGATATTTGATGTTAAAATAGAAGAACAAGGGCAAATTTAATGATGACCAACAACATCCTCATCATTATCAACAGCCTTTAGTAGTCCACTGCTGGACATAGGCCTCTCCTTAGAAAGGAGGTTTTGGCCTATTATACCACGCTGGCCAGACGGGTTGATACAGGGTTGACAACACTCCGTACTAAGAATGATGTGTGTCCGTCACCACACGGAAAATGATGAACAATGTGTTAATAAAAGTAGTGGAAGATTATATACCGAAAAAAACGTAAATAATGGTAAAAAACGCAGAAAAGGAACGTAAACGTAACGTAAAAACAATCGATAATATGTTTAATTGTCCGGATAAGTATATGGTATCTGTCAAAAGAACTATCATTTTCAACTGTGACAATACTAAGTTTTAATATGACTCGAGAAAAATCTGTCACCTTAGTTCAGATGTCAGATTCTTCTCATCTATAATACCTTCTAGGTACCTAGGTATACTGTAAACCTACGTTTCTAGAGACCGGCTCGGTGCAACACCTAAGTGCCTAAACGCTGAAATAACAGGTAAAAAGAGGGCTGTCTTGAAATTAATGAGAGACAGTGAATTTTTTTTCCGTTGAAAAGTACTTATTAATGTTAAATTGCATTCACTTTTTAGTCTATGTGTGCCTCGTAAAACAACCTTGTAAAATTTTCAAACAGATTGTTGTCTTTGTCAAGGTGTTCTGCAAATTAAAAAAAAAAATTAAAAGCGTTTATTTTTCCCGCCTAATCGTGTTTTCAAAAAGAGGTCGGATTCTGACAACGTTGACATAGATAAGTTAACATAACACATGTCATGTCATTATTCCTCTAATTACCTAAGTACATTTTATAAGTTTGCTTGCTTTGAGTTATTTTAATAGGTACCTAGGTACATACATACCTATCGAACCAAACGTGAGTATTCATATATAAGTATATTTTTATTAAGGATACTGGATTGATAAAGGAATTCATTCGAAATTCAAATAGCCAATTAATTAGGTACCCTAACTACCTACAAAGTGAAACGTTCAAATTTCGAACACAAAAAAATAAACTGCCCTGTTCAATAATATTCCCCTACAGGTAAAAAAAAGTAAAAAGCAAAGTATCAAATACAATACAATTTATTTTTAAGTCCCAAATCACTTCAGTTCATATTTCAAAAATATATTCGAATTCCTAGACCGAAGCAGTGGTCTATTGACTCCATTTTAAATTCAAAAATTTATTCAAATCAAAACATTACAGTTACCGTCGGCACACGACTGGCCACTACCATTAAACATCATTACAAAATATAAGCCAAGTAAACGATATGACACCTTATACATATTTAAACGAACTATTAATTGAGTCAACTATAAAAAAATGCTTGTTCATAGTAATAAGAACTTACGAGTCAGCAAATAGGCCCAAATAGCATGAATAATGCATCATATCAGCCATTCTACGTATACACAGGTCTATAGAACACCAACATGTCACCAAGAGATTTCAACCTTAGCAGTACACAATAAAGTATATAATTAATCTTATGATGATTATAAAAGTCATTTGCACAATCGTCTTTCCGTTTAAGTCTGAAAAAAAAATTATTCCGCCTCTCTTTTTTTCTCGTTTAGAATTATTGTATGGTAGACAGAGAAAGACATATGTTTCTTGCCCCGTTCGACCTACCAAGGGGATATTGGGGTCATGGAACGTGTTTGAATTTCGAAACACGTCCCGTCCAATGCGGTGGCTTGTTATTCACTGTTTTATCATTGGTTGTGCGAGCCCTGTACTAAAATAACTTTAGTTTAACAAAATCGATAGTCAACTGTACGGTGATATCGCTATACGGTCGCTATTTTGCTATCGTTTTATGTTTCATGGTAGTGGTGTGACACGGTGTGGTTGTATCTTTTATGTTATTCGTGCAGCCATTTCGTTTCGAAAGATGTCCGGAGTGACTTTAATCGTGACGTTTTAATACGTTTTCTATAGTTTTTTGACGTTTATGAAGATACCATAGCTGAGGAACTGTTACGGTAAGTGAGTGGAACCTAATTTTTGATAGATTTTTGAACAAAATTGTCATTCAGTGTGTATTTTAGGCAGGAAATGTGCAAATGTGGTGTTTTATTCTACGTATTGAGTTCTAACACTGAAATAGCTATGAATTTCGACCGTGACGTCACGGTTATTTGAAATGAGAATTGTATTATGGACGTCCGTTACTTTTTTAATGTTTTTTTAATCATGACTTGTCCTCTTTGATAAAGTGTATCAGCTGTTTTGTTCGGAATAGTTATTTTCTTTTTGTTAAATGTTTATTTTCTTTTAAATATTCAATTTGCCGAAAAACATAGGATATGACATGGCTTCGTATGATAATTTGCGATAGAATAAATCAATGTTGTACATACTTATTCCTGCATGTTAGAACCTAAAATGCTGTTGCAGCATTATTTTGTTTTGACGCTCTCTTCTGTCTCACTCTACCCTTATGTATTTGATATAAGGGCGTCCCTTTCTGTTGTATGCAACTTATTTATAGTGATCACGGCGGGGTATGCCGTTCCCCTGTGGCGCCCTACATTTTGTGATAGTGTTGAGATTTTGACAGCTCGCTTATCGATATAATTTCTATTTGTCGATAATATTTTTGGTAGAAAGTGTATTGTTGTTTGTTAGTTTATGAAATAATTATCGAGTTATAACTTTTGAGTATACTTTAAGTTAGGTAGTTAATTTAACAATTACTTAATTGATTATTTTGATTAAGAATTATTAATAAAATAATTATTTATGAAGTTAAAAATATGAAAATAAAACTCATAAAATTTTGTGAAAGTTTTATATTTTGAATGTATGAATGAAAAGTAATGAAAGTATATGTTTTAAATACCCTTCAGATATTACTGGTTAGGATTTTCTATCCGTGTGGTGATGGACTAATAATACAGAATGTCATTCCCCTATTCATCCCGTGCGTGTCGTAAGAGCCGGCTAAGGAAGCAAACGACGCAGGACACCAGCACTACAAAGAGAAGGAAAATTTGAAACAAGCCCTGTACCAACCCGTCCGGCCAGCGTGGTATAGTAGGCCAAAACCAGATTTCTAAGGAGAGGCCTATGTCCAGCAATAGACTATTATAGGCTGTTGATGATTACTGGTTGAGATTGGAACCAACATAGATATGTCCCTCTCTCTCCTATGTAAGTTGCAGTCCCATCGTCTGTAACTTACAAACGAGAGCTTGTCAGTTGCATTTCTTCTTTTCTTTCCTTTCTTCTATAGCTTACAAACAGCAATAAAAGATGCTTATCACATCTTCAGTAACGCTATTTTATAATATGAAAAGAAAACGGTTTTTTATCTCTCGTAGCGTCCACGCGAGAGTTCGACCGTGCTAACATTGATTTACTGTACTGTTTAGGCATTTCACAGTTTCCAATTGGTCGTTGAGACCTCTTATTATTATCAGAGTAATATCCTGTTACGAGTTGTGCATCGTACGTGCTCATACTGAGTCTTTACCTTAATGTTAACTTTGAAATAACGGGAAATTTATTTTGATTAGTTATGTTAGGTTATGTTATATACTTTCACAAGTTACAATAGAGTAACTAACGGTGTTCCAGCGAACATATTTTCAACCAAAAAGAGGTCTGTCATGCCCGATAAGGGCTTTTATTACTACTATCCCTAATATACTAAAAACAACTTTATGCACTTTTTATTAAAGTTCATATTCTATTAGTGAAAGTAATTACCTTTTCTAGAAGAAAAATGAATGACTTTGAACTGTGTTAAGTTCTAATAAAGTTGAAAATACATTGTGAGAAGAATAATACCACGAACAATAATAGATTATTTCTTTTGAAATGTATAATACCAGCTCATTGTTAGTTTTGAGAACCAAAGATATTTTAAGACAATATTTTCTCAGAAACTTATTATTTAAATTCTTTATCTAAATATTTTATTTGAATTTGTTAACTTACTTCTATTCTATGACTTTAGCAGAAGACAAAGTTCATATATAGGACCGATTTTAAGGTGTTTAAGGGTTTTTCTAGTCTGCCATTAATAATCCCCCTACCACATTTGTTTTCTGTAAATCTTATCAGCTGCTCATTAGAGGCTATTGTTTTCCATCCACTGATACGAAGTACGGGATAAAGCTTTTGTAATTAAAATTATAAACGACTTTGTTTTATTAATATCATGAAGTAACAATGTCTCAATCAAATGGCCAATTCTCGTAATAAAAGTTCGATCTCAATTCAGTTCCTATCAACTTTCGATCTCACATCTGTCATAAAAGGTATTTTCGTAGTAAAATATTACTAAAATTACCGATTTAATTTTCGGTTACAATACGATATAATCACATTACAGTCAACGTTGGATGTTTAATACTTTACTACGAAAATACTTTTTTTGACAGTTGTGAGATCGAAAGTTGATCGGAACTGAATTGAGACCGAACTTTTATTACAAGAATTGGTGTTCAGGTGTTTTAGTAAGGTGTATGGACTTTAAAATATTACTGTAAAGTTTCTTGCAAAATGTTTATTCTTACGTTTTATGACTAATTTGCAAGGTCATTCAAAGTATCTAAAACTCATGCTGAGATGGCTTTAAGATAATAATTGTGAGGCCTGCGTAAACGTTATTCAGTCAGCGTTGATATTATCTTCTCTTTGAAACTTCTTTTTAGCTAATCTATTTCTGATAAAAAAACAAAATAGCAAAACCTTAAATCTGTCAAATTTTTACATTTCTGTGCGAGCACGTGAGGATACAGTTGATATTCCAACTTAATTTCAACCTTTCCAGTCTTTCGTATAGGCAGCCATGTTAATAGAAAAATAAGGAAAATAATGTTAAACTAAACCAAACCCTTAGAACAAAATTAAAAAACTAATCAAAAACTACACTATCGACTATCGTTCCAACACTATTCTCAACAAAAAAAAATGTCTGCCATGCCCGCCGAGGGCTTATTATTACCACCGGCCCTTATGTACTGAAAGGAACCCTATGTACTTTGAATTAAAGTTCATATTCTATTGGTGAAAGAAAATTGCCTTTGTCTGGGAGAAAAAACCTTCTTGCCAAATGACTTTCAACTGTGTAAAGTTCTTAATAAAGTTTGAAATACATTATGCTAAAAAATAATACCACAAGCAAATAGATTATTTCTTTTGAAATCCGTTGATTTATGAAGACCCAAAGATGGTGGCTGGGAGAAAGGTTATTTTAATGTTTTTATTCGTCCTTCGAGGCCTTTCTCGGAAACTGCTCGCCTTTTGATGTCCTTATCACGGGTTTTATGTTGTCACTTTTGCTGTTTTTTTTGTTTCATAAAAAAAAACATTTTGTTTATATTTTAATTACCACTATACACACACTATAACACACAGAAAAAAAATATGTTTTACTACTTCTTTTTGTTTGTTTTTTTCTTGCAGCCTAAAATATAATTTACAAAATAATTAAATATTTCATGTTTTTTTGAATTTACAGATAAATATAAGTTTTATTAATATATTAAAATAAATCAAACCATAACATAATTATAAAACATGTCAGAAATAATTTTATGCCATTTAACCCTTATCCTAAACACTATATGGGCCAACATTATTTGTTAAAACATCAACCCTTTTATTACATCTATCAATACTCCCTTTCACTACTCACCCTTGTACGGCAATACAAAAACAAAACTCATATAAAAAATCACCCTAGTAGACTAGTGCTAATATCACCCTCGTGACGCATTTTACTTCGATTCTCAGGTGTGCAATTTTTTAGGGTTCCGTTGGCACTCAGTCATTAGATTAACAGGTAATAAAATAATACATAGGTATTACTACAAGGACAAATCACACTTTTCTGTTCTATTCAACTACTCAACCGATCACTTTAACATTTTACCTACCCCTGGATCAACCAATCAAAGTACTCTTGCCAAAGTATACCTGAATTCATTCATAAAATAATCATTAAAGCAAGCGGAAACGCGGGTTATAGCTTGGTAAAAATACCAACAACTTCTGACTCAAAGCAAACAAACGTCAATTTTTTTAGGATATATGAATTTATTTTATATTAAATATCTAATCTAGTGAGTTAATGAATGTTAAATTCTGCAAGACGATGGAAAACATAATTATCTATCAAACGTCAAAGTGCCATACAAGTCGAAACAAGTCGTGTCTATTAATCGTCAATGTCACCCGTCGTCTTAAAGTCACGCGGATCCGCAAAACATGAGAAAAATACTTGAGGTCCACATTCGTAACCGCCTTAGCGGATCTAGTAATTAATAATCCGAAACCGCGTTCATATGCACCGTTATTCATTTTCATAGATCTGACACATCACTAGTCTTGTCCATCAGCGAAAACAATTAAATATTTAAATCATTCATTCATACCAAGTAATGCATTGTTAATAGTAAGTTATGTCAGAGCTAAAAGGTTGATAAGGCGATATTAAGTTAGGATGATGATCTCCGTAGGCCTAAATACAAAGAAAGGTCTATCAATTTTCGAGGCTGTCGATGGAAAGGCCGTAGACTAAATACGTTGTTCTGGCGCGCGGCGGCTGAAGTCGATTTATTTTTTTGGCAAATAGTGTGGTTTTAGTCGATTTTAATCTGATAGAATCTTTTCTACCACCATTTATGGTAATAAATGTCAAAGACAAAAACAGAATAGAAGAATGTAACATTTGATTGGTAGAAACCAGAAAATCAATACTATAGTAGAAAACCAAAAGGAAATTTTTTGGTCTGGCAACTTTTGTACCATTACGTACTTTGTGTTATTGTTTGGGTAAAATCTTGTTTTTTTTTTAATAATTTATGCATTTTCTTACAGATGCAGCAACCGTTGGCTCCGCAGCCTGATCAAATGGGGTAAGTGGTAGTTGACTCATCTTTCGCAACCATTATTCCATTTAGAATAATTTAAAGAATAGGTAACATATTCGTGTTATAGGTTAAACGAAATAAAATATGACCAACTCAAAATAGGGTAGTTTTGGAATGATTTATTATAATAAATAATTTTGTTTAAAATTCTATGGTTAGATAAGTTTACCATAAAATAGATGCGTTGTGGTATTATTGTTTACGTTAATATGAAAAAGGTTCAAAGTAAATTATTTGACGTCGTCGTAAGCTGGTATTTGGACGTTTAATGAAGAGGGACTTATTTGATTTGACAGTTTACTTATTGTCACTTCCTAACGTTATTCAGTCATGGTTTCTGCCAGATATTATGACGTCGTAATGACTGACAGATTCATTAATTGATTTCTGAAGTACTGGTTTACCAGTTGCTGTTTTTCTTCTGTGTAACAAATAATCCGTTTTTTTTCTTCTTTCATAGTACAAACTTTGCTTAGTTTGAAACTAGATGGCGTTGTGTGTTAGATGCCCGAAAATATTATTACTATAAGCAAGTTATTATAGCAATCCGTGTAAAAGTAAATAAGTATTTCATTTATAATAAATAAGGTTTAGATGTTTTATGAATTTTAAACGTGATAACAGTTAAACAACGGGGCTTATTACTTATTCGAGCGGACGACTGCTAAGTGCCAACGGAAGGGAGCGTTTTCCAACAAGTAAACGTTTGACTACTTCCAGGCGCGCCCTTTTTAAAATTCGAGACAACGGCGACGACTATCGTCTTTTGTCTTTCATGTAGATTTATACTTTCTTTGATGATTTCTGGATTTCTTTCAATCATACTTTCTTTGAATCTATGTCTTCGTTGTTTTGTATTGAGTGAATAAAGTTGGTACTGAAGGACCAACCCGCCTCTCTTTCCACCTAGTTCTGGGAGTGCGTAGTGTCCGTTGACTGCGATAGTCTCTTACCATCCGCTTGTTTGCCTCTTATAACCTAAAAAAACATAGCTAGCTTATACCTGCGGCTTCGCTCGCGTTTTGTTTGAAGTGTTCTTCCAGGCTATAATATATTTCTGTTCATAATTTTTAATAATAGGAAGGGAGAAAAATGTACGCCGTTTGATTTGACCAATAAGTGCTTTGCACTTTGCCGACAATTCTTATTATTGTATAGTAAGTAGGCCGTATTGAATGTGCTATTTTATAGTAATTTGGAGTTATACACCAATGTTACTAATGAGTTAAGACAAAAATACCAATACTAATATTAAGGATTATTTTAAACGACTTAGGTGGACTTTTTTAAATGGTTTTGTTTTGATTTTCATATTTGTCGTCTTATAAAATGAAAAAATGAAATGAATTAATCGATGTACTTATTTAATACGTAGATAGTCTTTATATTTTAATATATTTTAGGTCCAAGGTCGACTTAACCACGAAAATGTCACATTACAGGACCCAACAGACCCTGGGGCAGCAGATGGTGCTGTGTCCAGTGCGGTTAGTGTATGAGACTCAGATCTTAGTACAACCAGGTAAGTGATGTTGTACACTTATAAACGATAATACTACCAATCAATTATCCTTTCGTTTGTGTTCTATAATGTGCACGTAAAATCTAAAAGTGTACACCAAACTTACTGTAATGTGTCTATTAATTATTTTTTCCATCGTCTTGCAGGGGATCATATCCAACCGAACCAGACCTTCTTTATCAACCCACAGAACCCTCCGCCATGGATGCAAAACAGTCTTCAGAACAGTCTACAGCCACGACAACCGATTCAAAACCAAGTAGTATATGTTCATCAACTGCCAAACAACATCGTGTCTTCTATTCAACAACCTATGGACCAGAATCAATTATACTTACAGCAGAACTATCCCAACTTCCAACTCCAACAGCAAATGTTGACGCAGAATCCCCAAGAAATGAGGTCAGCTGTACAATTGACAAATATCATGCCAAATATGGTTCAGAGCATGCAGCAAAATGTACCAAATGAAAGAACAGTGCAGAATAGGCCGATGCAAGCAAATCCACAAATGATTCAAAATCAAATTTCTGTGAACAGACCAATCCAACATCAGATGGGGAATCCGACTCTTGAGGTCCAAGGACAAGTGGTGATGAGGCCACAGATGCACCAACAAGGCAATATCCAAAGATCGGTCATGAATGTTAATCAAATGCAAAACCTGCAACATCAGAATTTAGCTAATTTACAAAATGTTGTTTCAAATACTGGCCAAAATTTTTTACCAAACACTGGACGACCCGGTTCAAATATGAATACTGTAAGGACTTCAATACCAAATAATGTCGTAAATGTAGCTGCAGTACCTAAAGTAAGAGAAATAACACCTTTGAATGTGGAAAACAAAACGGTTAACAGTCCAATTGGGAATGTTGCACCAAATGTCAGGAATTTTGTGCCGAATTATTATAGACCAATACAACCTAGACCTCAAATTGGTCACAACACAACGAATATGCCAAAAGTTCAACAACATATACCTGTACAGACTATACAAAACAGCCCAGTTTATGACCACAGCAAAAATAATAACCTACATAATACTAACAATAATTTCGCAATTATCCAAGAATTAAACAATCCAATTATTAATAAAAAAAGAAAGAGTGAATCTCCGGACGAAACTCAAAGGAAACTGCCTACGCCCACCTTAAAACCTAACTACAATACACAAGCTATTCCCAAACCAAATTATAACCACACACAAGAGAGTATATCAAAACCACATTATTATACGGTGCAACAAAATATGAATGTCACTAAATTAGTAAGTGAAATGGGGACAAATACAAGTCCGGTGCATAGGCCTAAGTTAAATCCACAAATTCAAATAAACAGTCCCCAAATAAATAAACCTGCTATTGAAATCGAACCCAATATTAATAAAGACTCATCAGGTTTACAAGATAAAGAAAAGCTAATTAGAAATACAGTTTTCACTCAAGCTAGGGGAAGAGTACTTCAAGATAAAATTGATGAATCGAAACCACAACAAATGGAAATAGCTACAGAAACTACTGAACAGGTCAAAATTGCGGCAATCAAAGCAGAGCCTGCGTTGCGAGCTGTGGAGGAACAACCAAAACCTGCCGAAATACCAAAGGCTATATCAGATATTGCTGCAGGCACAGATATTATAATTAAAATCGTAAAAGAAACTAATAAAAATGAAAAAGAAGTTGAAATAAATTTACCACCGCCAAAAACCATTAAAATTGAAGAAAAACAGGTCGAAAAGATTAAACAGTTAAATAAAACTGAACAAGTTGCGAGTGTAAGCGAACAAGTTGCGAGTGTTAGTGAACAAGTTGCGAGTGTGAGTGTAAGCGAACAAGTTGCGAGTGTTAGTGAACAAGTTGCGAGTGTGAGCGAACAAGTTGCGAGTGTGAGTGAACAAGTTGCGAGTGTGAGTGTGAGTGAACAAGTTGCGAGTGTAAGTGAAAAAGTTGCGAGTGATAACGAGAAAATGGATCAAGAAAACGATGAACAATTGTTAGTGAGTGATAGAAATACAATCAAACAGGAGAAAATAGATATATTAACACATGTTGTCGATGGATACGTGATTCAGGAATCTAATATTGCTTTTCCGGTAAGTGCATTAATTTATGTTTAATAAAATAATTTTTAGCGGAAAGTTTCAAGGCGAAAGATATAAATCGCACCATTAGAATAACAGTGACCCAACTCAAAATGCTCTTTGTTGAAAATACGTAAGAAAATCTTAAAATAGACGAATAATAGACCGATGGCTTGCAGTTTTTTAAGGTTTCTTTAGGTTAGCTTATAAAAAGAATAAGGAAGTTTTTTTTTTTAAAGTCATTTAGTTCAAAGGTTCGGAAACGTTACAATTAATTTAATATCCACTGTTTCCTGCCGGCATCTAGTACCCAAAACTCTTTCTAGACTTCAATTCTATCCATAGTCCAAGGCAGAGAAAGCAAAAGAATGAGAATGTCACTGTCACTGTTCATCTTTGGATCACCAGAACCTGACTGCTAAGCCAGAGGTCGTGGGTTCGATTCCCATCCAAGACAAATATTTGTGTGACGAGCACGATTATTTGTTCTGTCTGGATGTGATTTTTGCATGATATCTAAATATTAAGAAATATACAAGTATGTTATTATTATTATTATTATTATTAAAGCTCTAACACTCAAAAGTAATCATTGTTTATTTTCTTATTACAGATAAGAAAACCCCTAAAAGAGAAAATTCTATATACAAACACGAAATCAGAGGAGAATGAGAAGAAAGACCTCTTAAGAGAGAGTATAAAAGAAGAACTCAAAAGTAACGCCGTCGATATCCCCTTGTTACCGTTCCATTATCTATTATTAGAAAGCGCAAAAGAAGAGAAAGAGAAGGCAGAGGAAAGAGAAAAAGAAGAAGCCAAAGTAAGAGGTAAGTAATGCATATTACTATTGTTTATTTTGGGTGGTACAGGTGGTAAACGAGTAGACGGGTCACCTGATGGTAATTGACTGTCCTGGCCCATGGGTACCTGCAAGAGACATAAGTGCGTTGCCCCCACCAGATTTAGAAGGTGGGCTGGTCCTCAGGTATCCGTATAGTCCGGCGATGGTTTCATTGCAGTCGAGGCATCTCTTCTGTGCCGAACTATGTTTCTCTCTCGTTTGGATGATTAAGTTCATGAACTTTTGGTTTTTAAAAATAATAATGTTACTTTACTTAGCTGGATGCGAGAAGCCCAAAATCAAACCAAGTGGCGTGCAATGGGAGAGGCCTATGTCCAGCAGTGGACTGCGATAGGCTGATGATGATGATGATGATGAATGTTACTTTGGACTTCATCCCAGTGAACTTTATCTTTTGTTAATTTTGTGTTATCTTTCTTCGCAGGTAACCCCTTCTCCCAGTTGGAGCACACTACTGTCAAATCTTGGACGGTAAGAACTTCTTTTATATCAGAAGGTCAATTCTCGTAATGAAAAGTCGTTCACGTATGATCCAACGTTAACTGTAATGTGATTATATCGTATTGTCACCGAAAGTTGAATCGCTATTCTACTAGTCTTAGTAATACTTTGCTACGAGAATACCTTTTATGACATATGTGAGATCGTGTGTAGATCGGAACTGAATTTCGAACTAATTTTTAGTACGGATTTTTCCAACCAAGACAGAAGCCTATGAAACACTTATTTTACCTAGTATTATTTTATCTCACTAACGTAGTTAATGATAAATTTATCTTATGGATATTTTAGGAAGTATAAAAGGTAAAATGCTGAGTATAAGCCCTGGAGAGATCGTTAAGCCGTCGGTCCCAGTTGTTATACGAAAATCGGTGTCAATCGGCAGTTGGAGCCATAAAGAGTGCGATAACAGTCTTTGTACAGAACTTCGATATCGGCTAGTGGTGGTGGAGATCTGATGGCAGACGCAGAACTTTGATTTTTTACGTAAAAAATCGAAGTTCAGCATCGACCTTAACCTAGTTTTGAAAAAGAGGACGAGAATATTGTAAGGAAAAGGGAAGCCAATGGTAGAAAAGCGATAATATTTATACGGATGCTTTGTATAATGTCAGAAATACCTCTGGCAGTTAGTGATCGCGTACCTGTAACTTCAAGTAGCTATTACCGAAAAGCTTTATCCCTTTCATATTATTTTATTCTTCCATTCCGATCCGATCCGATCAAAATCCGATTCTTGAGAAGCCGGGATAAAAAGGGGTTCCGTTATTTATCAATGTAATGTCAAGTCATGTCAGCATTTCAAAGAGAAGGAAAATTTGACACAAACTCTATACCAACCCGTCTGGCAAGCGAGGTATAGTAGGTCAAAACATCCTTTGTAAGGAGAGGCCTATGTCAAGCAGTGAACTATGAAAGGCTGTTGATGATGATGAATGTAAAGTAGACATTACAGCTAAAATAAGTTGTAAGCAGAAATTAGGGATCCTGGAAAAAAACGTTAGTATTTAATAACAATCAGCTCCAACAAATAACAAGGCTTTCCCTTCCAGGTGGATGATCTCACAGCACACCTTCTAAAATTCAGCTGGAAAGACACAGTCTCACTGCTTCAGGACCACGAAATAGACGGGGAAAGTCTCTACCTCGTCTCCAAGCAGCAACTCCTGACTATTGGCGTAACAGAGGAGCATGCCGACGTGATTTGCGAATTCGTTAAAAGCTGATTTCATTAAATGTAGATTTTAGTGTAAAAAATTTACCATTGACAAAATCAGTACTTGTTCTACGGGTTATTTTTAACCCTAGAATCAAAATCAAGAGCCTCGCTTTTAATGTATACGAGTAGAACTTAGATCGTGAATATGTCTAGATAGAGTGTTGCCCTATAAAACAACTAAAACAAACATACCAACTTTATTATGCTGGTGTTAATCGACAACACAGCTGACATACAGCGTCATCGGAAAAAAATTGTGTCCAACTGTTGGACACAATTTTTTTGCCGACGTGTTCACAACTTTGACAAGTGTGACATAGACTATCTAGGCATAGCGACGATCTAAGATGTAGTCCTGAATCAGTTTTAAAGTTGATTTTAAATGTCACGTGTTCACAATTGTCCACTGAAAATATCATTACACACACTAGCAAAACGAGATCTTGTCATTTGACACATAATATACTACTAGAAATATACTTAATATAGTTATTTAAAATAGCTGGACCTGACTATTGGCTCTGGTCAAAGCAAAGTAGATTCTCTGCAACTGAATTTCGGCTCAAATTAGACTGCCCATTTTAACCGTAGTCAATAATCTGGATATTAAATTGCATTGACTGTCAGTTTTAACCTAAGTAAGTTTTAACCTAGTACTAAGTTTTATTTATTGTGGTAAAAGTTGTAATCTGTAAATATAGAAATTACAACGAACCGACTGCACAACTGTGTCAAATTTTGTAACTATATGTGTTCAATGTTTGTAAATAATATGTTCATGTAAACATTTAAAACGAAATGGTTGCCTTTTGAAGTTAGTTCTTGTAATAACCCACGAAGCTCGAAGGACCATGTATGCGAAAGACCAAGCAAATTGTCGGTCTTAAGTTTTACACTATTTATAGAAATAATAATTTGAATTAAATTCGTATGGCTTAGTTTCTTCTTCAACAATAATCTTTAGACATTAACTTCAAGCTGCAACCTTTTCGTTACCTATAGACTAATCGCTGTATTGTAGATATTATCGGGTGTATTTTTAAAAATGTATGTGTATCTTGTTTAAATGGACTAATTGCAATTCTAGGGTAAATAAATAATAAATAATTTTAATCATGGTAATACTATTTAGGTTTAAATTGAGACTTAAACATTGTAAAATTTACATATATATTGTATATTTAAACAACTGCCGTACCGTAGGTGATGCACACATGAGTAATATAACAGCCTTACAGAAACCCGGTTTAAGCAACTCTGTCATTACCATAGAAAAATAAGCATAGAGTGAACTAAAGCCCCAATCTTGCAATATAGGCAACGAGAGAGATGGATAATAGATAGTTCCCTTTATCTCTTTCTAGTCCAGCTCTCTGGTTGGCTGGGGAAATCTCTAATCTCTCGCCTGTTCTACGATCAACACCCCGCCCACTTCACGATAGCCAATCGCAGCTTAGCTAAACAGAGACAGATAACTATCGGGCATCCATCTCTCTCGTTGGCTGTATCGCTTCCACTTACAGGCAGCTGTACCCCGTGCTCTCACTATGCTTATATTTCTATGGTCATTACTTTACCCGGAGTGCGTGGTTTTTTATTCGGTCATTACTTCACCAGGAGAACAATTTATGGAAAGGAATTTACAGAGCGGCAAAGGTCTTGTATTACGTTCTATCAAGTGACCAGTTTGCTCGTGTAGCCCCTATACTCAGCAACCCCTGGTGAAATGCAAGGATTGCCGCACCCGCAATTTATTTATTCGCTTATACTATAAGTCCTAACCTATATCTGATACGAGTCACACAAGTTTTAAAACAATCTTTAGTGATTACTGCATTTTAAATTCTGTAAATATATACATATCTAAAAAATAAAATCTATGAAATACTTTCGAATTTTCTTTTAATATATATATAAAAAAAAAACAATTGCACAAAATGTTTTTATAACATTACTTATCTTGAGTATAACAAGTTACAATTACAATATAAGTTTTTATAACAACATTAAAAATAAATACAAATTGCACAACATACACACATTGACTAATCCAAAAGGGGACACCACTAGTTACGAAGACAAACAAATCTACAAAAGAAACACAAAATATCACCTAACCTTAAACGTCAATCACATTCTGAATTTCCAGACCAATAACATTTTTCTCGTATGGCAACCAAGAGTGCTGATCTGTCAAATTGGGGCATCTGTCATTTGAACTAAAAGCGGTTTCATTGTTTTCATCTGGGTATCTGGGACTAGATTCTTATTCAATTTATAAGTCACCATTCGTAAAACAATTGATAATTATACCACAAAGCTAATTTCTTTTCGTGGTCTTTCCCATAAAATTCACAACTTGAGCGAACGGAGCAAACTTACCACGCCTATTGCGTTTCTTAATACCTAATTCTTGCAAAACATCATCAGACTCAATAATGGATGAATCCAAATTCTTTGAAGCAATATCTTCTGAATAATCTTCGCTCTCATTTTTCTCTGTATCCGATAACTCCCTAAATTTCCTATATTCTTTAGCCCTGATTATATTCGGATCGCGTCGCTTCATAGAATCAGGTGAACCAAATTTTGGATGATCTGGAGGTTGGCACATCAAAGTATCATAGAAGTATCTGTCGGCTCGCCCCTCGCCTTTCGGTCTCGGCTTGTCATCATCGGAACTTTCTCCCGATGAGTTGATGTCTGGGGAGCCCTGTGGTGTTTTATGGATTCTAGAGCTGGAAATTTTAGGAGTCTAAAATTACATTGACGAAAATTCTTACTTTAAACAGTCTGAACTCCTCAAATTCAAAATGCTTATGTACTAGTGGTCCATATCACAGTAAAAAATAAATACAAAGCATACTGCAAGTGAGAGGGACGCGTAACCCTCTCTCTTGAACTGGTGTATTTGAAATTCTTAAATTGTATGCTCAAAATAAGAAGCTGCAAACCGGTAAGCAACCTGGAGGTGCATAGGAACACTAAAAACGCTGTACCCGGTTACTTTCTATCGGGGAACTACAAAAATACCGAGGAATGCCTTACGTGACTTTATATTCTTCACTGCCCATGTCAAACTGTATAATTCTCAAATAAAAACCCTTAGTTATCTTACCATCTTTTACCAGCATCACCAGCTATCATTGTGGGACGCGGCGATTGCGGCACATAGGCTCCTGGGCCACTAATCTCATCTCCACCCACCGCCTGACCGAAATTCAAAAGAATAAAAATATAATTTTCATTGCCTTGACAGAAATACGATTTCCTTTTGCGAGAATATATTATTATAACATAAGAAATATAGAAAAAATAATACCTTGTTATTTAGATAGAAGTAGCAATGTGTAATCCGTTCAACATCTGCCCATGCAACGATATACCTTGCCATCGTGAGGGGTATTTTTGGAAGGAAGTTAGAGTGGAACTTTCCCTGGCAGTAGATGGTGATCACGTCGGTGTCTTTAATTTCGAAGATTATGCGGAATATTGTACCTAGATGACAAAACTAAGATTGACCATACTGATAAAGCGCTTATTTTATGGATTTATCTAAAGGACACTGAATAAAAATATTTTCCTCTTTAGGGAAAACTTTCTTTTACTTCTTCTGACAGTAGCAAAACGATTTTACCTGGTACGAACATATTATAATTTGTATCATAATTCCCGCTGCCAATCCAGATGCCGTTCTTTCTGGATAAAGAAATGATGTTGTCCCGGTGGAACCGCACATCGAAGTGCAGCACCACATCTCGGGGCTCTTCGCCCTCTTGAGCGCAGAGATTCACCGACATCCTGGAGAAATAAGGACCGCATGATGTTTTGTTACAAAACTAACTAGGAAATTATACGTTCGGGGTTATGTTGGGTCCGGGCACGGGACCCTTTCCTGCCGACTGACGCAGGTCCTTTCCGGGCATGGCTGCTTCGGAAAGTACCTGCACTTAGATGCTAGGAGAGAATTGAGTCCCGCATGTCACCACTGTTATTGCAGTGAGGACACGCCGGCAAATCGGGCGTCGCAGTGTGAAAGATACACCGGAACCAAAAACTTCTAAGCGGGTGAAAAGGTGTACCAGGGATTTCCTAGGGTACACCTGGTTCCTCGGCAACTGGTACCTGAGACGACGTTCGGTGTTTAGTCGGTTCGAGTCCGACATAACCATCCCAGCGGTGGGTGGCAATCACTTGTTCTGTAATATATATCTTTTTACAAGAATCCTTAGCTTCTTACTTAAAGATCCAGAAGAGAAGAAACTAAATAGAGCAGTCTGTGTGAAGACTATTTAGGTAGTGATTTTTTTTTTACACCCAGACTCAGAACAACAATTTGTGGATCACACAAAGTGTCGTCCCATGTGGGGTTTGAATCCACAACACTCGGCGTAGTAGGAAGCGGCGTGGCGACCGCTTAAACCGCTAAGCCATCCGTGCAGTCAATTTCCAAGAATGTTTATCTTAAGTTCCTGGATCAGGTTTACCCTCGCTTGAAACTACTCGATAACAAAGATCTAACAAGATCATAACGTTAGAAGTACAGATACTGTAGAAAGAGTAATATGTAAGATATAAAATGGAGGAAAGGAGAAACGCTAATATGAGCTACTATAGCAGATTTTTTATTATCTCTAGCAATGTCTCAAAATGTTGTCACAGGAGGGAATAGTTTAATAACTATAGAAAACTAATACTAGTATTAACTACTAGCTGACTTCATTTGTGTGTCTCAAAAGAAATAAATTTGCCGCGTTTTTACAAGATTTTTCATTAATGCTCTACTCCTATTGATGGTAGCGTGATATTGTATGATTAAAGCCTATAGCCTTCCTCATTAAATGTGCTATCCAACATGAAAAGTTTTTTTAATTCGAACCAGTACTTCCTGAGATAAGTGCGTTTAACCAAACAAACTCTTCTGCTTTATAACATTAGTATTAATACTACAAATTTTCTGATAATTTTTCTACTAATTCTTAGTACCATCACACATAACTTCTGCTTGATAATACCGTCTAACAAATAGTAATATGTATTGCCTTACTTCCGAGCGTTTTCCTTAATTTTACCACCGATTTCAATTTTATCTCCGACCTTAAGGATACCGGGTATGTTGGCCGTGAAGACTGGCATTGTAGCCAAGTGTTACTTAAATTACAGATATAGTTATGCCCCGTAGTTCTTTCTAACTTAGGGCCAGTGATAAAACTGGACATTTTGGACGAAAAATTTATACATTACACTATTTTGTGAAGTGATGTTTGAACAATTTACGTTTGGGATAATTTTTGTGTTTATCTATGCCTATGGTGTATTGATATGCCAATGTGACGCAAATGCTTAAAATGACTTATTCTTTTTAATTCTTTATGTTATTTTCTAAGTAGGTAGTTTTAATGGTCCAGCCTTTTCTTCCGGTCAAGGCACTTGCAATCATTTCTCTGGTAAACATGACATTTTCTCACCAACATAATATTGCTCCATTATCTTATCACCACTGTGTAGAAAACATATCACTATTAATTTTTTACTTATAACAGTTTGATGTTTTCCATCTTGCTTAATTTTAAGCTTATTGAGTTACTTGATTTAGGACACGATTAAAATAATATACAAAATTAAAGCCATTATACCGAAATATAAATCAAAAGAATAAGCATAGAACTACTAAATAATAAGTTTGTAGCAACATTAACTATAACGAAAAAACAAACTGTAGTGTTATCTATCCAAGACCAACCGAACTAAGGAGCAACTGCATCGCGCAATAATTGTAGGTTTTTTTTTGTCATGCTCATAATAGGAAGCCACCTGTCTAGCTTTGGTGACTAGACAGAAATTTATGTAGGGATTTATGCTTTAGACCTCTAAATTTCCTATAGCATCAAAAGAGAGCTAAGTTAGTTGAAGTGACAATGTGACCGTTACTTACAATCAGGCAGAGATTTGTAAAATTAATACCATAAAAAAAGAATTCAATTGACTATAAAATATTTCTTCACAAAATAATTGATATTCCAGTTGAATAAGAAAATCGTACCTATTTTTATACGCGACAACATTGTTGTTATTATGAAGTTAATTGTCATTTCAGTTTGATATTTCTGACCGCTCTGTTTGCCATATCGTGAATAACCTCGTTGCAGGTAAATTTACAATAAATACTAAACTTTCTGTATTTTTTGCAATCTTTATATAATGTACAAATACTAATAGTTTTGTTGTGACTGACTAAAGCAAAGTTTCGGTAAGTTGCATACATAAAATAACTACTTCCTGGGAATATGAAAGATCACTAGTAGCTAGTATCTTAGAAGAGAGCTCGTCATTCTATCACAAACACTGTTTGTTTATCGTTATCTGAGCCTACGTGTCGCAAAATACTGCAATAACAATCATTTCAACCTTTCTTTAAGAAGTTTCAAAGTAATATTAGCTTAAATAAAAGCCTATTGTTGCACGTGAACTATATAAATTTACAACCGCATTTTTTTATAGATTTAACAAAGAAAAGTGAAGTTACCGGTCTAAAAACGTGTCCAAAAATCTTCAGTGCCGGTATCTTACAATACTATTGCGTATTGTTGTAAATTGCAATAACAAAATAATAAAATTCGACGAACGTTGAATGATGTCACGGAAAGGAATAAACCCATGATCTGATGCAACTTGTTGACATTATGTTTGAACAAACAAATAAATATCTAATAATAGGATAGATAAAACATACCAAAGTATACCAATAAAGAAAATTAAGGTGTCTGTTTTTGATGTCGTAATAATAACTCTTTGCTAAAAATGTAATAATCATGCTCACACAGTATTTAAACCACAAAAACCTTTGTCTCTTGTCTGGATAGTTTCTGGACTACTTCTTATCGGACTTTTAAATAGCTGATGTTATAACAAGTAACTTCAACTACTTTTATTTTGAAAAAAACAATTAGAGTTCTGCAGATATTTTTTTTAATGTTCACATTACCAATAAATATTCTATACATAAACTGTTTACTACTTTTTCATGACAGTTTAGTAACTTTTTAATTATTTTGTATCAAGACATTTACATCTAGCTTTCATAGGAGGTTGTGGGTTCGATGCCCACCCAGGACAAATATTGTGAAATGAGCACAATCATTTGTTCTATGTCTGTATGTAACTTATCTATAAAATGTATTTAAAAATATATAAGTATGTTTATCAGCAGTCTGGTTACCATGGTACAGGCTCTGCCTAGTTTGGGATCAGACGGCTGTGTGTGAGATATAACACACACAACTAAGAGGTAATTCTATGAAGCTTGGCAAGCATCTGTGCACTAGTAATCTCAGAAAACATTATTTGCCTAGCCGAGTGGTGCATATGTGGAACTCTTTGCCGGAAACTGTGATAAGTGCCATGAGAATTAATTTTTTTTTAAATAGACTTGTTAAACATTTAAATACACAAGTGTAATTGTATACATGCACCAGCCTTAAGCTGCTAGTGTATTAAATATAATAATAATAATATTATTTTTATAGTACAAGCTCTGCTGAGTTTGAAACTAGATGGCGTTGTGTGTTAAATGTCCGAAATATTATTATAATCTATTCAACCTAGAAATTCTTTAATGGCAGTGAGTTCGTAATATAAACTTCATTCGCGTGAAATTTGAAAAGCTCTGCCTTAGTAATGAAGTATTGTAAGCGACTGCAGTTCGTTTTCTGGAATGAGCAAAATTTTATGAGGTTTTTCTCAGAGGCAATATAGCCGACGTTACTCCTTGTATCGGGTAGTAAAATATTATCAAAATCGGTCGAGCCGTTTTGAAGATTACTCGGAACAAACAGACAGACACAAAAATATTTAAACTAGTTTTTATTCATGTTCACACGTTTATTTGCACGAAACCTAAACAAGTTATCATTTCAATAACCATGTGAACATGAAAAGAACCTATCATTATGACATTACAAACAGACACTTCAATTTTATTTATTTGTATAGATAAAACGAAATTTTACACATTTGCTCTAGATATATAGGTATAGATAGGTCACTGCAAAAACTTTCCAAACAACATTTTTGACAAACATGTATTAAATAAATAAAAACTCTTATCTTTATGACATCTGTTTACTAGTAGAACTGGCTAAGTCCTTTGTAGCTGGAAGAATAATAATAATAATATATTGTACCATCGCCATCTAGTCCCAAACTAAGCAGAACTTGTACTATGGGTACCAGACAACTGATACATATACTTTTTTTTTGTAAATAAATACATATTATATATAGAAACACCCTGACCAAATTAAACATTAAATGATCACACACACAAATGTTTGACTTGAGCTGGAATCGAAGCTGCGACCTTTGGAAGTATGCCATCCGGTCGTCTATAAATCAAATGATATCATTATTAATAAAATTGTATAACCCATTTAAAGCCAAATAAAGAGTAACAGAAATAATAAAATTTTACTTTATTAGACCGTTGTTAGGTCACATTCATTGAGTGGTACAATTAATTATTATTATTATGGTATTATGAATGGATGATGTGTGGTGAGGGATTCAGAATACAGAGTGTCACCACCTCTATTCATCTCGTGGGTGTCGTAAGAGCTGACTAAGGGAGCAAACTACGCAGGACAACACTTATGACACACTTATAACACAATTATTTCATAAGATACTTCATCATTGCATTTTAGACTAATCACTATTAATAATATTATAAATGCAAAAGTAGCTCTGTCTGTCTGTCTGTTATGCTTTCACTGTGATACCGATCCAACGACTTGATTTTTTGTTTCTTTATGTTAGACCCCTCTAACATAAAAAAAAACGGAGAGACGAGACGAGCAGATTCCCTGTATTGTTTAAGGACACAAGCTACTTTTGACTGCGATAAACGACTTACACACGGGCAGAGCCACGAGCAAATGTTAGTAAAAAAAATAATTGTAAGAAATTAAATAAAAAATTGACAATTGTCCTTTTTTTTCGTATACCCTCTTTAAATAACTGTGTGTTGATACATCAGTCAAGAATGGTTTAATACACATGAAATTCTTCTATTACTCAGCTTACATTACAAAATGGTGGTATCCGAGGAGCCTGCCCCTGCGCTCGAGGGTGATGCAGCAGCCAGCAAGAAGGCCGCCAAAAAAGCAGCCAAAGCTGCTGAGAAGCAACAGAAGAAAGCTGAACATAAGGTAGAACACAGAACAAATCCAGAACTAATGTATAGAAATACTATAATAATATTTACACATATCTCACACACGGCCGTCTGATTCCAAACTAGGCAGAGCCTGTGCTATGGTAACCAGACTGTCGGTAAACATATTTATATAATTCTAAATACATACTGCGGATTATAATAGAAAGCGTACAATGACAAATGTTTGCTTATCCGTCACCTGTCGTACAGCCTCTGCCAGACGGCAACATGCCTACATGTCTATCTTCTTATATAATAGAATAAATAAATTAACGAACATTCATCCCTTATCTAATCGCGAAGCTAAAATTAAATTAAAGAATTGGTTGCTTGGTATAGACTATGACCAAACTGAAAAATTATTATCATAAAGACTAAAAACTGACCATATACACCTCTCATATCACTCCATATACATACTTACATATACATCCATACACTTAAATACCATACACACCACAAACGCACGGCACACTCCACACTACGCACTTTCATCACATTTACTCATCTCACTGCACTTATTTTTGCATAAGATTTCTGTGTTCCTCATAATGGGAGAAGACACTGACTTCTGTAACACAGGCCAAGAGCCTAGCTCAGCAGTCAGGGACTTCACATATATTGTGTATTTTTTTTATGTGAATATAATAATAATAATAATAATAAATACATACATAGTATAGATAAATTACACCCAGACAGAAGAAATGACCATGCTCATCACATAATTATTTGTCCTGGGTGGGAATCGAACTGTCTTGGAACCCGCAACGAAATTAATCAGAAGAAAATTGGAGGAGTTGGAAATACAGTAAATCCACTTCCCTCCTTAGCAAAGCGGGAGACAAAATGAAGTAAAATAGGCATACACCCTTTTAAACAGGGAAGCACCACGGCCACAAAATATTACGGGTCCTACATGAGCTATATTTGATTTCTATAATATATATGGCAGAATCGCCTAAACGCACGGAAATTCACCCTAGTTGACACAAGATCCCCATAGTATACCGCCCCAGATGTCACCTGCAAGCTATTCAGCATTATATTACGTTCATTATACCAAAGACTACATTCCCAGAGGATATGATGAGCAGACTGTTCATAATGAGAGTTAGGTGTTGAGCATTGACACAATGGTGACTCGACTAATTTAAATGAATACAACTTGCTCTTAAAGTTACCATGACTCGTAAGAAATTGAGCGACACAGTGATCCACCTCAAGCCATGTCCTCGACAACCGTTCGCGAACAGATGAAAAAAATTGGTAAAGATGGCGCCCCTTGGATGATTCGTCCCAGCGTAAACGTTTATTGTCTTAAATAGTTACACGGTTATACATATATCCAACATGACATAATCTACATCTAGCCGCCGCAAAGCCGTCACTGTTAACCCCTCCCATCCCCATGCTAGGAAAAACTGTGGGACAGGTTAAGGATAATCCGAAACAGCTCAGTTGCAGCAATAGCCATTAGTGGTTATTTCCACCATTGTGTTACTAATGATACAGAATTAATACACACACACACTCATGATCACAGTCACTAACTGCATCCACCTGTGACCAGTTTTGTGTAAGTGTTAATCGTGTTCGTAAAATTGACAATTCTTACATGGCTTAAATGCTTAAATGAAATAATAATCGTTACGGTCTGGACTCAAACTAGGCAGAGCCTGTATTATTATTATAATGTTTAATTGTGACTAAGTTTGTTTCCTCTACTTTCAGGCAGCTTCTGGACAGCAACAAGCCGAGGTTCCAGAAGCTGACTTCTCCGAGGGTCGCTATGGAGTTGTCAAGATGATCCAGTCCACTGGAGAGAATCGTGACAGAGTCTACACAGATGTTAAAAACTTGGGAGTGAAGCTGGACGGACAGCAGGTTTGGGTTAGAGGTATGCTTGCATTTTGTCTTGAAACTGAACCATTAGAGCTATACTTTGGCAGATATGGGCCGCCGCAACTGGAGTGATACCACGGCATTACATAAACTGTTGTTATTGGAGCCCAATCCCCTCCTTCCGGCCCCCCTCTCCCCTTTTTATTGGGAGGGAGCACTAAAAGGCGGTAACCTACTTGTGTCGCTTGAGTTCATGAGCGGTGACAGTCGCTTACCATCAGCTCGTTTTTTGCTACAGGGGGCAAACGAGCAGACGGATCATCTGATGGAAAGCGACTACCGCCACCCACGAACGCCTGCAACTCAGGAGTCACAAGTGCGTTGCCGGCCTTTGAGGTAGGAGTATGCTCCTTTCTTAAAGGTTTGAAGGTCGTATCGGCCCGGAAAAATCGCAGCCGACACTTGTTCCACAGGTTAGTTTTGCGGGTCAAAAAGTGTCTTGCAAAGCGCACAGTGGTGAAGCGCCAATTATCCAAGTGGGTGGGATGAAAATCTTGGCGGAAGGTTGCGGTCGGTATTAGTCGATTGCTATTGTTATAAATTAAAAAAAAACTGTTATATATAGCTACGTCCGTGTCCGCGCGTCCGTCTACCTAGGTCCGTGTGGTGACGGATTAAGAATACAGAGTGTCACCACCCCTTTTCATCCATCATGAAAAAACTACGCAGAACAACAGCACTGCAGAGAGAAGCAAAACTTGACACAAACCCTATACCAACCCGTCTGTCCAGCGTGGTATAGTAGGCCAAACTCTCCTTTCTAAGGAGAGGCTTATGTCCAGCAGTGTACTATGAAAGGCTGTTGATGATATATACCTACTAGCTTGCCCCCCTTACCTACTTTCCTTCCACAACACGACACTATACAAACTCAATTAAACTTTATAACTCTTTATAATTCTCTCATTTTCTTGGACATCATAGTTAAGTGTGTTTTGTTCCCCAGCTCGTCTCCAGACCACCCGCGCTAAAGGGAAGCAGTGCTTCGCGGTGCTTCGGCAGAACAGCAGCACCGTGCAGCTGCTCGTTAACGTCAGCGAGGAGAGGAAGGTCAGCAAACAGATGGTCAAGTTTACTGGCAAGTACGTATTAATTTTATCTACATATAATACTAGCTCCTTTCTGTCTCTAGCATTGTATTGTTAAAGGCTGTTGATAAGCTATTCGATTATTACTTATTTCTTTGAAAATCCGACCCCCGAACAGTACCCCCCTTTGGTGGTGAAATTCCCATAAATGACGAACTTCCATACAACCGTTGATCGCTTATTTTACTCCCCTTGGGGGTGAAAATTAAAAAAATGCTCTCTTAGTTGGTGCTTACAACATAAAAAGCATCCGCTGCCGGTTTAGGCTCTGCTTTAATGACTTAGTCAGTCACGGCAAATAATTGAATGTGTACAGATTATGAAGACAATTCTTTGTACCTCTTTTTAAGCAGATTCTAGCCTCACTTACGTAAGCCATTGGGCAAGCCTACATCACAATTCCCCCCTGGAGTCCTTGGTTTGAGTTGAAAGAGAGAGTTAGCAGTCAGGATTACTAACCAATTGGCTAATCGAAACATTGTTGTGGTATATTTAATGATGCCATTGTATCTATCTGTTCATGAGTTTTTTTTTACCTTTCTTCTAGTAAGGGTCAACCCCTTGGAAACGGGTGGTTGTAGACTGGCACAGCTATTAATAGTAATAATAGTATAAAAAAGACAACTCCCGCATTAAGAAAATATCCTGTGTCGCGGGGAATCTTACAAACATACATGAAACGGACACAAAGAACACCCAGACTCAGAACAACAATTTGTGGATCACACAAAGTGTCGTCCCATGTGGGATTTGAATCCACAACACTCGGCGTAGTAGAAAGCGGCGTGGCGACCGCTTAAACCACTACGCCATCCGTGCAGTCATACTATGTAATAGATTGCCGATATATATATATATATATTTATTTTGCCAAATGTTTGATAAAACAGAGATTGTTGCTATTGTGCGTGTTGATCTAAGACTTTTTTTTAATGTTGTGAAATAAAGATATTTTGAGTTGAGTTGACCAGGACCTGGTCATTTATTTTGATATTGAAATTTATTAAATAATTTAATTCCAGCATAACCAAAGAATCTATAGTGGACATCTTCGCTTCGGTGGTGAAGACGGCGGCTCCGATAGAGTCATGTTCGATTCACGACGTAGAACTCCTGGCCACCGAGGTGTGGCTTGTCTCCGCTGCCAAGTCCCAGCTGCCTTTGCAGATTGAAGATGCTAGCAGGCCTGAGAAGAATGACGTAAGTATATAGTCAAGTACAGTATTTGAAATACAGCTGACACAAAAATTCTCTATATATCCCGTAGGTGTTGTAAGAACCGACTAAGGAAGCAAACTACGCAGGACAACAGCACTTCAAAAAGAAGGAAAACTTGACACAAACCCTATACAAACCCGTATGTCCAAATTGGTGTATTAGGCCAAAAACTCTTTTCTAAGGAGAGGAGGAGAGGAGTCTAGCAGTTAACGGCTGTTGATGATGATGACACAAAAATTCCTGTTAACTGACTGACTGTTTTTTTCTTTCTTCTTTTTTTTACAACACTCCCGCACAACTGACAATCCTGTGTCGCGGGGACTTTACAAACATACATGAAACGGTCACAAAGAATACCCAAACTCAGGACAACAATGTCTGGATCTCACAAAGTGTTATCCCATGTGGGGATCGAACCCATAACACTCAGCGCAGTAGAAAGCGTGACCGCTTCAACCACTGCAGCATCCGCGCAGTCAAGTCAGGAAGTGCAGTCAGTTTGAGAGTCCTACAAAACGTATCGTTTTGCGTTAAAGGGACTTTAAACTAGCCAGAAAGAGAGAGAAAGAGAGATGTAGAAAGGGCTACGTAGTACTCAGTAATTTATTAATTCCACAGGACCCTGAAGCTTTGAAGATCCGCGTAAACCAAGACACCCGGCTTGACAACAGAGTCTTGGACCTGAGGACACCTGCGAACCAGGCCATCTTCAGACTGGAAGCTGGAGTATGTAGACTGTTTAGAGACATCCTCACAAAGAGAGGTAAGTTGTTGTATCTGTTTTTATATAGTGGCCCTGAATTATATTTATTGGTTGGGGAGTGTTCCCTCGTCAGTGAATACTCCCCAACCACGGACTTATAAGAACTACTAAGACTAGACTAGAGGACTAGTAAGAAATCTGATTACATTTATTTTGTTAAAATAACTCCCGCGTTAATAATATATCCTATGTCGCGGGGGACTTTACAAACATACATGTAACGGACATAAACAACACCCAGACTCACAACAACAATTTCTGAATCACACAAAGTGTGGTCCCATGTTAGGATCGGACCCACAACACTCATCGTAGTAGTGAGCGGCGTGGCGACCGCTTAAACCACTACGCCATCCCGCAGTCAATGTTTAAGTATCGTTAGATTGATGATTTTTTTAACCGAAAAAAAAGAAAGAGGATTTCAATTCGACTGTATTTTTTTGTCTTTGTTGCTTTAGAACTCTGTGATTCATGAACTGATTTTGAAAATTCTTCTTCTATACTAACCATCTGGTCCCATTTTGGAAACACCCCAAGGGTGGAAAATCAAGGAATAAAGAAAACATATTACAGTTCATCATGATGCAGGTGCATTGAACTCTGTGTGTGAACACACACACACACACACACACACACACGCGCGCACACACACACACACACACACACACACACACGCACACACACACACACACACACACACACACATACGCATATACGAGATATTTCATTGCCCAACCTAACCATGTTACATTTAATTTAGAATAATTTAAGTTTACCTATAATGCACAAAGTGCAACCACTGATTCTCAAAAAACGGGAAATCCTATTTTGAGGATCAGGTGGCTCATATAATAAGTTGTGTAATTTTCTGCTTATTTTATGGTTAACTTTATTCAATAAAAATTATTATTATTATTATTGTTCATATTTTACTGAACTGAACTATATATAACGAAGAGCTATGGATGAACTATAATGTAATATAACTATGTATTAAGAAGGGCTATCGTCAGCGGCTCGTTTCTCGTGATTATTTCCTATTTCGTGTTATTAACTTTGAAAATGGCAAACTTACATACATTTATTCATCCCTTATTTTACCCCATTAGGGTTGAAATTTCAAATAATCCTTTCTTAGTAGGTACTTACAACATAAAAAGCATCAGGTGTAAAAATTCAGGTTTGGTGTCCCAGCGGTTTAGTCTGCGTTGATGAATGAATCAGTCTGGGAAAGTAAATTTATTAAATCATCTCTTACTACCTTTTGTTTTTCTGTGCGGAATTCCTACGGGTACCACCCACCGGTGGGTTGGTTATGTCGGACTCGAACCGACCAAAAACTGCGTGCCGTCTCGGGTACCGGTAGCCGGGGAACCAGATGTACCCTAGACAGGAAATCCTTGGTATCCCGGCGTACCTCGGGCGCTCCGCACCGCGTGCCCTTTCGGGGGTGACCTTGCTCCTGCTGGGGTGACAGATGGCCTCACCTGTTACTTATGAAGGACGGAGGTCGTTCTGCGACCTCCGGGCTTGAGTGGCCTACGGTACCTTTCACCGCGTCCACAGTCCGGCCATCGCAGTGGTCGCACACAGGCGTAGGCTCTTTGCGGATCAGAAACAGGTGATCTCCGAAGGATCCTTTCCCGGTGATCATCTGCGTCAGCCGGTATAAAAGAGTTCCGTGATGCCACTCGAGCCAATCCACCATAACGGGTGTGCATTTCTTACTCCCTGTATATTTTCGCGAATATCTGAGACTATAATTTACTTTTAAACTTTTTTTACAGGTTTCGTCGAAATCCACACACCGAAGATCATATCAGCGGCTTCTGAAGGTGGTGCTAATGTCTTCACGGTGTCATACTTCAAGTCCTCGGCCTACCTCGCCCAGAGCCCGCAGCTCTACAAACAAATGGCCATAGCTGCTGACTTTGATAAGGTATTATATACAACTAGCTGTTAACAATGAAAGAATAGTGCAATAGATGGTTGAAATCAGACGTTCAAAGAACAAACAACTCATAGCACTCATGAATAAAGTTCAATATTGAGCACGCCAACACGAGGGTAGGGTGTAGGGGTGAGGCAGATTAATTGCTGCGGCAGGGGATAGGATGGCAGCCTGATCGCATTAACACGCAATCGGACCGCCACGCCGCGATTGAAGGGGGAAGTCACTGCACCTGGGATAGGGCCTGATCATGCGTCACATGGTCCGAAACCTCCCAAAGTAGGACGGCCGAGACTGGCCGTCGGGGTGGTTTTTAGTAGAATCATCACATACTCCTAGCACATGAGTTCCCAAGAAACAGGAGAACATAAAAAATGTGTAGGGGTGTTTTTTTCCAGTTATAAATCATCATCATCATCATCATCATCATCAACAGCCTTTAATAGTCCACTGCTGGACATAGGCCTCCTCTTAGAAAGGAGGCTTATGCCAGTTATGAATGGGACCTACCATTACCTTTCATATAAATAAACGAATTTTCTAAGTCAGTTCGTAATTTACGGAGGTCTAAGGAATTAAGACCCTTTTACCTTTATTAAAGTCGGTTAAAACAAAAAAAATATGTAAGCTTTTGGTATGTAATATATTATGTAAAGTAGTACATATTTTAATATATATTTTTAAAGACATCATCAATGTTAACAGCCTTTAATAGTCTAGTGCTGAACATAGGCCTCTCCTTAAAGACAATCAGTAATACATTACAAACATACATGAAACGGACACAAAGAACACCCAGACTCGGCACAACAATTTCTGCAACACAAAGTGTTTTCCGATGTTTGGATCGAACCCACAACACTCAGCGCAATAGGAACCGGCGAAGTGACCGCTTTAACCACTACACCATCATCAGTCATTCTCCCTCGTATACCTTGCAGGTGTTCACAGTAGGCGCAGTTTTCCGAGCTGAAGACTCCAACACTCACCGCCATCTCACGGAGTTCGTGGGCCTCGACTTGGAGATGTCCTTTAAGCACCACTATCACGAAGTTCTGGAGACCATTGGGAACACCTTCACAGAAATGTTCCGGGGGTTGAGAGACGAGTAAGCATAATAATACAAAGTTTTCCAGTTAAAAGTAAATTTTTAGCAAGTTTTTTGCGTATTAAAGAGTTTGTTAATAGGATTTTATAATTTTGCACTTGGGTATTTTTGAAATGAAAACTTTACTGAAGTTAGTAAAGTTTTAGGCGCGTTGGGCATTTTTGAACAACAAACAAAAGAAAGTGTTTTTTTAGATGGGAAAAGACCATTGAACTTGCGACACTGTTAGTGTTACCGACACCTCTGTGTGTAAGTATCTACATATATTGGTCCCGTTTACACGAGAGTTGAGTTTGAGTTGAAATACATTAATAATATAACTATTAATAATATAAAAATATATTGTGTATATACGTACATATGTATAATGTAATTTTATGGGAATGAAGAACAAATAATATCCACGTGTTGCTCTGTAAAACAAAGAAACGGCGATTAAAGTATATTATTTTAATTCTAAATTCCCTTTATATTTTGTAGTTTTATTCCCAATTTTGTTAGTCACTCTTTTTAAGCGCTGTTTTCTCACAATATTGCCAGCATAATAAAATTATTCACTTAATCACATTTACAATATTTATCGTATTGCTTACAGCACCATCTATGTCAAATAATTGCCAATAGATGACATTGTAGACAATAAATTAAAGAAAAAATATTTTTTGTATGTGTATATGCACAATATATGTTTATTCATGTCGGAACTCTTCGAATTGAAATAAAACATCATTTCTTCTGTGTCTGTGTGTAATTTATCAATAATACCATAGTATACCATACCTATATGTATCCCATAGTACAGGGTCTGACTAGTTTGGGATCAGACGACCCTGTGTGAGATGTCTATGGTTATTATTATTACCAGCTGTGTTGAACAAATACATGATGATGATGTTCATTCCAGGTACGCATCAGAAATAGCGACAGTTGGGCAGCAGTTCAAAGTGGAGCCTTTCAAGTTCTTGGACCCCCCTCTCAGACTAGAGTTCCCTCAGGCTATACAGATGTTGAAAGAAGCAGGTAGATATATAGATTATTATTATTATATGTTCTGAAAAACTACCTAGGCCACTCCTAAATCACTGGACTAGATTTTTTTTATGTTAGAGGGGGCAGACGAGTAGACGGCTCACCTGATGGAAAGTGACTATCGCCGCCCATGAACGTTTGCAACTCAGGAGTCACAAACGCGTTGCCGACCTTTTAGGAAGGAGTACGCTCTTTTCTTGAAGGTTTGATATCGTCGTATCGGTCCGGAAATACCGCAGACGATAACCCGTTCCACAGATTGGTTGTGCGGGGTAAAAATTGTCTCCAAAAGCGCGCAGTAGTGGAGCGCCAACTATCCAGGTAATAAGGATGAAAATTTTGCCGTGTGGAACGATGGCGGAAATTTACGGCCGGTATTAGTCCGAACAATTCCTCGGAGCACTCTCCATAATATATGCGATAGAGAATGCAGAGTCCTCCGCTGGACATAGGCCTCCCCTTTGAAAAGAGGTTTTGGCCTGCTATACCACGCTGACCAGACGGGTTGGTACAGGGTTTGTTTCAAGTTTTCCTTCTCTTTGCAGTGCTGTTGTCCTGCGTAGTTTGCTCCCTTAGACGGCTCTTACGACACCCACGGGATGAATTGGGGTGGTGACATGCTGTATTCTTAATCCGTCCCCACACAGATTACTATAATTGTTTTTAATTACTTGTGTTCCAGGAGTTACAGTAGGAGAGGAAGACGACCTGTCGACGCCGGACGAGAAGCTGCTGGGACGGCTCGTGCGCGCCAAGTACGACACGGACTTCTACATCCTCGACAAGTACCCGCTCGCCGTCCGCCCCTTCTACACCATGCCAGACCCCAACAACCCCGTGAGTTCATTTTATCATTATCATCTTTCTGCCCTGCTTTGTTGGCGCATTGTGTATGGGAATCGATCCCACGACCTCTTACCACGACTCGCGTGTGTGTGTGTGTGTGGTGTGTGTGTGTGTGTGTGTGTGTGTGTGTGTGTGTGTGTGTGTGTGTGTGTGTGTGTGTGTGTGTGTGTGTGTGTGTGTGTGTGTGTGTGTGTGGTGTGTGTGTGTGTGTGTGTGTGTGTGTGTGTGTGTGTGTGTGTGTGTGTGTGTGTGCGTGCGTGTTTGTGTGTGCGCGTGCGTGTGTGTTTCTTTCTGTAAGTCGTTTAGTAATTCATAATCATACTAGTTTAGTATGATTATGAATTACTAAACATACATTAATTAATAATCATACTAGTTTAGTTTAGTATTTACTAGTTTAGTTTAGTATTCTCATAGCACAACGCCTATAGCCAGTCTGTCACCTTAACTTTACTTTTTGTTGTAATGTTAAAGGAAATAATATTAAGCTCTGTTAAGTTTATGTTTTTTTTACATGTTTGTAAAAAATATTATATGTATTGTGACTATATGGAGTGAGTGTGAGTGAGTGAGCTTATGTCTGTCACCCCAGATATCGCGAGTACGATTGCCATTTACCACAAATATTTGTAAGCGCGAGCATGTCTATTTCTATTCGTCCCAATATAATTTATGTTATGAATTCCAGCGGGTGTCCAATTCGTACGACATGTTCATGAGAGGGGAGGAGATCCTCTCCGGGGCTCAGAGGATACACGACCCAGAGTACCTCACTGAGAGGGCGAAGCACCACGGTATTGGTAAGTAGTACTTAATGTTTACTATGATAACCAGACTGCTGATAAACATACATTACTTAATATTATAATCTCACACACGGCTGTCTGATTCTAAACTAGGCAAAGCATGTGGCAACCTGACTGCAGATAAACATACTTATAAATCTTTTAAATTCTATTTACCCATACATTATACAATTAATTTGAGGATATATTACATATAACTAAAATGACTTATATATTAAATAACCCACCCCTGATCGTTCCGGGCCCAAAGGTGCCCATAACGCTAGCTGCGTTCCCACGCTTTAATAAATAATAATAATATTTTTCGGACATCTTACACACAACGCCATCTAGTTCCAAACTAAGCAGTGTTTGTACTATGAAAGCTAGATTGACTGATAGAATACTTTATACCTTTTTTTTTGTAACCACTTACATATCATACATAGAAAACACCCAAACTCCGAAACAGATATTTGCAGATCATACAAACATTTGGTCCGACCCGGGTATCGAAATCGAGACCCCAGCATAGCAGTCGCATACGCTACCACTGCACCAATGAGACAGTCCAAATACATGCTTTTAAATACACTTACATTCCATCCCACTTCTTTTATGAGGTTACAAAGAAATAAATAGGGATAATTGCAATAATAGGGACTATTATACATAAATTACACAATTATTTGACCTGGGTCGGCCTGGCTGGGAATTGAACCCACAACCTCGGGCTTGAGATCACTAAAACTTAGACAGACATTCCAATCTTATATTAAAGATAGATTACACCAGAACACAGAACAAATCACACATCTTACAATTATTTGTCTGGTGTGGGAATCTAACCCACTACCCTTCGACTCAGGCTGAACAGTCAGGGTCCCTGACTACAGATCCATGTATATTTTTATGATTACAGATGTCAGCAAGATAGCAGCCTACATTGAATCCTTCAGGTTGGGATGTCCACCACATGCAGGTGAGCCTTTCTGTTCATAATTATAGATGTAAAGTCTTAAACACTATTGTTGAACTAAAAATTTGAATATATTTGCTAACTGCCTTCCTCGTTAAATGGGCTATCCAAAACTAAAAATATAAATATGTTCCTGAGATTAGTGTGTTCAATCAAACAAACAAATTTTTTAGTTTTATGATATCCTATATATTTATTCTAATATATATCTAGATTTACTTCATAAGAGTCAAGTTAACCGCTCCTTTTAAATGCTGTATACTTCTGTATGTGAAAAGTTCAGTATTGTATTTTAAAACTGTCTTAAAATTACTAAATGAATTATTTCGTTGCGTATTGCCGATTGAGTGAGGTGATCGTAGGCACAATAAATTCTGGGACAAGCCCTTGGAAAGTACGGTAACTAGTAGACATGGAAATTATTGCTACTTTTAAATCATTTTCATTTGATTATATGATTAGTTTTAGTCACATGGATTTCACATGTGATTGTGTTCTTTTTATTCTTCTTTTTTTAGATTTAGACCTTTCGCGAGTCTCGCGCTAGCGTAATATCATAATAATTAAGTAGCAGTAGTTTTGTAAATCAGTCATACGTGTGGTGATATGATTTATAGATCATATGATTTACCACATGTGATTGTGATTTTATTACATCCCTAGTAGCTGGTGACTCTTTAAAATGTAGGTGTCTATTGGCTGTGGTAGTCAGTTACCGTCACGTGACTACCATAAAACGTCTTATCTTGTATCCCATCTCGCTGCGACTTTAAAGAGCGGAGCAGAGACAATATAAGGTGTCTATTAAGTAGATAGTTAATTATGATTCTTTTTCGACCCCAGGTGGAGGCATAGGTCTCGAGCGCGTGGTGATGCTGTACCTAGGTCTCGACAACATTCGGAAGACTTCAATGTTCCCTAGGGACCCGAAACGTGTGACACCCTGAAGATACCCTGTGTACAATATATGTATATTACTGATTTGTGTATTGTATTGTTATAGTACATATATATACATACAAATTTTATTTACATGTTTGTTTTGTTACCACTTTTAAGGTAAAGGTTGATAAAAAATATCATTTTCATTATATATTTTTTTTTAAAACAACTCCCCTGCACTAGGAATATATCCTGTGCACATACATACATGAAACGGACACAAAGAACACCTAGGCTCAAAATAACAGTTTGTGGATCACACAAAGTGTTGTCCTATGTGGGGATCGAACCCACAACACTCAGCGCAGTAGGAAGCGGCGTGGCACTTATACCACCGACGCCATCCGTGCCGTCATCAGTAGTTATAACCATACTAATATTATAAATGTGTATGTCTGTTACCTCTTTACGCTTGAACTGCTGAATTGATTTAGATGAAATTTGGTGTGGAGACACTTTGATTTTTGAGGAAAGACATTGGCTATTTTTTACCGCGATAACCGACATTTATGCGGGCGGGGCCGCGAGCAAAACCTAGTTGTATATAATATTAAATAGTGGTATTTATAGAAAGTAATTTAAAATATAGGAATCTGTTAAGCAATTCTTTCGTTGCTTTTCGCCGTCACCGAGTGAGTTAGGATGCCACAGGTCGTATCACCCCCCTATAATCCTGGAAGGAAGGGCACACAAAACGTGACAACGCACTTGTGTCAATAAGGTTAGCTGAAACAAAATAAAAGCCAAAAATAAGAATCAGAATTATATTTTAATACAATATATTCAATTTAAGTCCAATTTCATATCACACTTCTCGCATTAGCGACAATTCACTTTATCCTTAACAACGTCGACCAACAACACCATCAAGAATTACTGACAGGCAGGACTGCCAGTCACTCTAGACAATCACCGTCAGTCGCCGGACGCATTCAATATGATTTAAAAACACCAAAAAGAGAAAAAACAAACTTATAAACTTATACCTTACACATATCTGCATTTTAAGTTATATTTTTGATTTGTATGAATTTTTAATCGGTTCTTGAACCTGTAAGTTATCAATCAAAGAATGAAAATGTGAACCTTTAGACGCCATCGTCACGTATATGTTACGTGGTTAATTGAAAAAATGTTTATAAGAGGTTTCCTAGATTTCAAATAAATTCCCTGCATCATGAAATGTAACATCTTAAAGTACACGCTGAACTGTCCTCCATTATCAATTTATTGTTTTTATTGATTTGATATCTTCAAATAAACATTAAATATAAATGATTTGAAAATAGCTTGGTATGACGTCACGCCATAGTATTTCATACAATCGTTTTAGCATTTAATGAAAAGGTACCTACTGATTTGACTCGACAGTCATATTATGTGTATTCCGTTTAACGCCGGATTTATGACAATGTACAGATGATATAAATAACTAAAAATTACGAACATAACACGAGTGTTAGGGCTACCGTTACACATACATAAATGCTATAAATGTTACACTTGCAAAATTTCATAACTTTTCATAAAATAGAAATTGAGAAAATATATCTATTGTTGAGAATAACAGGACAAATGTCTATATATATCACTATGTATATAGACATTTGTAGGCCAAAACCTCCTTTCTAGAGAGACGCCTATGTCCAGCAGTGGACTATTATAGGCTGTTGATGATGATGATGTATATTGACACATGCAGTTTTTTGGAGTTTACTACTTAAGAATCGATTTTCATACAAGGCGCCCAGTATGAAAAAATATGAAGAGTAAAATTTAACGATTGAAATATATGTGTGTATGGGTCAAAGTAGATGACATCATGCATGTTGAAATCAAAACTCAGTTACATGTACGTATGCGTTAAAATAGAATAAACACAAGTTAATCAAAAGACGCTGAACAATAATGTATTCATAACATCTTAATATGCATTATGCATTTGAATATTGTCACTGAGTGGTGTTTGGATTATTCTGTTACGATTTTTATTTCATTCTGGCCATAAACTTATTCAGATACCTTTTTCTATTATTTATCTTTATTTTAGAATGATTTCTACTTTTGGAGTTAACTAAAATTCCTTAAAAGCTTTGATAATATCTTAATACAATTTTCACGCACATTTAGAAACAATTTTTTCTGTAGATATTAGCCTCAAATCACACTTAGTTTTTATCGAATTATGAGTCACATCAATAGGGTTGTGCTTGGTCGACATATTTTAAATCCATGTTATGATTCAACAAAAAATAAATAAATGCAATATTTTACTTTGTTAATTTAAGGATGCACCGATACAAAACTGTATCAGACTTAATAATTATAACTTATATGTAAGCAACAAAAAAAAGAACTACATACATTTTATCGCTAATAAAAATATTGTATAAATAATTTGTATTGGATACAACTGTTATTTAACATTAAGTTTGACATTATAAGTACAATTTTAGGAACAAAATACAAAGAGGAAGAAATATCGTATCGAAAATATGGCCGTTTACACTCAATTTTAATTATAATAAAATAAACGAATTAAAAGAGTTTTTTTAGTACTAAAATAGTGTAATTACAGCATTTTAACTCTCAAAACATAGTTTCGAATTAATTTTAACTTGGCGAAATTGGTGTTCAGGGTTGCTAATTCGTTGTGCTTTGGTAGGTTACATTTTTAATTTATGGAACATATTATGGCGATTTAACACGTTTTTTGTATTTCTTTTTTGTATTCAGAAATTTGTTTAAAATAATCTCCTAATATAAATTCTGTCGAGGTTTTAAGAATTGTGGAGAATAATATAAAAATATAAGGGGATATATGTAAAAAAATCGCCTGATCCATAGACAAACAAATAGAGATTTGTTTGTCTACGGACCAGGCGATTTTTTCACGCCCTTCTCTCTGGAGCAGGCAGACTTTTCGAATACCATCCCTATACCTTGTAAGGTATTCAACCTTGTCAACCTAAGGTACCCTCTACCATTTTTTAAATATAATAATAATTTACCACAAAAGAACAAAATAAAAATAAAGAGTGCAAACGGCCCGATAATACCTCAAATAGTTAATACCTTTGAGTTTGTTACATAGCAAATTGTTTCGAAATTACAAAATCTACATTTTTTCTTGTGTTCTAGACTGTGTTATATACATCAAAATATATATGTGTTTGGTCATAGAACTGGCTCCTAAATTCTCTTCCGATGTGGAGGAGGTAGGGGGGGGAAGGCAATTATGCATAATCCTAGTCAACAGGTCACACATATTTCAAAACAAGAATACTTTGTTTTTTGTAAAGACAATGCATTAGGAATAAATCTTGTGTCGCGGGGGGCTTTACAAACATACATGAAGCGGACACAAAGAACATCCAGACTCAGAACAAAAATTTGTAAATCACACAAAGTGTTGTCCCATGCGCGGATCAAACCACTCAGCGCATTAAACCACTATGCCTACCGTGCAGCCAAATACTACTAAATACATACATATTATAGATAAATTACAACCAGAGAGTTAGCGACAGGTAGGCAGCCGGACATAGAAACCAGTCCAAATAAAATAGAGACAAATTGATACTGACGAGAAGTGAAGAAATAGTCATCCCTTTATATAAAGAATAATAAAATAACACAGTCAATAAAATAACAACATTTAAATGTATATAACACAGTCTGTCTGTACCTAATTAAAGCGTTATTTAATAGGAAGTTTTTTTAATAATAATTATTATTTACAAATGATATTATTTATAATAAGTTACGAGAGCTTCACGCCTCTGACTGCCACGATATATAAATATATACAGTCTATTCAACTCATATCTTGATTTAGAAGTTCACTATGTAAGTTAAGGCAGATTACTGATCGAATTTGAGTGGCTCGACACTAAAAGAATCTCATCAGAAGTAGGTTGATCATGGCTATAACTGGATTAGCATTAGACTGGTTCAAAAAAAGCCAAAGAATGAAGCCCTCTATGGAAGGATAAGGTAGGTAACGGCCGAGATAACTGACTATTGCTACGAGATACGTGGGCGCTGCTAATCGCTTGTCACGAGACACCGACGCATATATATGTCAACTGAATCACATAATTATTTTTTTCACATCTATATAAATAAATTTACAAGTATTATTTCTGTAAAACAATTAATTTACCAAGATGCACAGTCTATTCCTCGATTAGCGGGCCTGCAATCTAACGGTCGATGTTAATACGACGAAATTGAATGCGCGATGCAGCAACAATTGACATTCGAAAGAGTTTGATTTAGTTTAGCGTGTTCTCACTAGATGGCAAGAGTTTTATGTATAAGGTGACACAACTAAAACAGATCACTTTCAAACTTCTGAATACTTTTTTTAAATTAACCTTAATAAAAGCAGCATCAAACCACAGAAGAAATTAAGTATTCCTTGATTAAATTTTAACAGGCAGCAAGTGAGAAAAATGTCCTTTATTTATTTACACTGCACATTAGTATCCGCCATTTAAAATATAAGTAGTATAGTAACGCTCGTCATTTGAGTGTGCGGAGGGCCTTAAGATATGACATCTTAAGGCCCTCCGCCCTCTCAAATGACGAGCGTTTTTCGCGCGTCGAACTCGCGTATGTTTGGATAGAGTTCACATGGCGAGCGGTTTCCGGGCGTTATTGCAGTTCAATTCTTTGAATGTTATTTTCATCTGGGCATTTCTTGTATTTTAATATGAACACTGCCTGAAATATCACCAATTAAGTGTCTCTGAACTCGTGGTTTGTGAAAAATGTGTTATGGACTTTAATTAAATGAACGAATCCTTTTATTAAAAACCTTTGTTGATGGGTTGAAAACGCTCATATGAAATGATGATGTCACAGCGCTCGTCAACGCCCTGTCTCTTGAAGTGTGTCAAAATGCACGTTAACATGCGAAGGACATGAAGCATGTTGACGCGTATTCCAATACGCGCGTTGAATGTGCGCCGTCTGAACATGGCTCAGTTTAATTTGTATATATCAACACCTGCTTGTTTAATAGTATTTTATTCTCACAGGATGTACTCGTATGTTGAATTTATTTTAATTCTTGTAAATTCTATTAGAAGTGGAAGAGAAGTTATCGTAACAGTTATATTATTATTAAACTATGACATTTTTATTGAGGAATGCAATTTTTTTAGAATCTTCAGAAGCTGTGGTTGCTTTTCATGACTGAGAAGACAAATATGTCCCTTCTCATAAACATATTATGGGTTTAAACCTCTCTAATATATGTATTAGAAACGATTGACTCTATGGTAACTAAATTAATACGCCAATTAACTATCCATAATTATCTGTATTTAAAAAAAAAAAAAAAAACATTAACGATGTTGTAATGACATAATTAACTTTAAAATAAGTATTACCGATTACAACTTAGAGGTGGTATTTGTCTTCAAAGTTTAATGCAACCAAACAGGAAGTGTACCTTCCCAAATAAAAAAAAGATTTTTCTAAATTGGTACATGAATGGCAGATTTCTAAGGTGACAATCAGAAAAAAATTACAACTGAATTGGGTATCTTTTTTTAAAGTAGGTTAAAAAAGATTTTGTATCATTATAAATAAAAGTATTTTTTTATAGAAAGTTTATAAATACATATAATTTTTGAAAATTGAACATCAATACTATCGTAGCGGTCATAGGACCGGTCGCTGTGGCACAGGCCCGGTTGACGAACCTCAAAGGAAGTCTTTCGGCTGAGATGATGAATACTTCAGTTGTGGCTTGCTTTTAATTGGATCATTTCTGCACAATAGAGTCCATTCGCATTATCTGGGTATACTATTTATTACTTATTACCAACATAGTTTCATTTCACACACCCAAAGATATAAAAATATCCACAGGAGATGCATACATCTTTTATCTTATTCTTTATTTTGATATTGCCACAAAAAGGCGTGTAATGTTTTCAGAGTTCTGGTAGGTATATCAGTGTCTATTCCACAATTACTTTTAAATTCTGATCAGATTTGGATGTGTATGTTATTTTTAGAATCCTTACATCATCAAAAGGAACATTAGCTATAGTAAAAAAAAACCTAGATTAGTGGCATATGATGTGTACAACATTTGTCATCTCACTTAGGACCCATAATATTTAGTCTGTTTAAAAGGGTATGCCTATTTTTACTTCATTTTGTCTCGCTTTGTTAAGGAGGTAAGTAGATTTATTATATTTCCAACTCCTTTAATTTTCTTCTGATTCATTTTGTTGCGGTTCCCAAGGCAGTTTTAATTTTTCCTGGGACTTCCCGAGTGTCATAACCCCGTCTAGACAGGACTTAAAGTGGTGGGCTTGTGAGGGATTAGTCCGCGCTCATTGGTCAAAATAAAAAGCGCGCGCTTCCCCCGTTTCCTGTTACATACTTCCGTCCCTTTTTACCGATTGTAGGAAAGACAGAGATGTTAAACATCAAAAAGACGCATACAGCTGGTGTATTTAAAAATAATCATTTCGTTCTACGTAACGGTGGTGACTTTGGGCAGCTGAGGTGCTGACACTAAAAAAATTCTAGAAGATCTAGTCCGAAAACTCACAGAAGTCGATAAAGTCTCCTGCTCCGGTTCGTTCCTGGTGGTTGGCCATTGCCATTCAACGAGGCAATGCAGCAAGTATGATGGCCACCTTTCCACCGGAAACGAACAGGGACGGGTTGATTTAATTAAAACTTTGTTTGTGTAAATTTGATTGTTCTCATCCCTGTGGCTGTTATATATTTTTGTAAAATTCATTAATAAGTAAGTAATTTTGTAAGGTTTATGTAGAATGTTAGTAATATATACGTACTATTTTTATTTCAATATACTGACAGTTTGACATAAAATTACTAACGTTGTCTAAAGTGCTTACATTTAAGGTGATATTTAGTGTTACCAGATACTTATGTGACCATTTATAAATCAATTAAGTATATAGAGTGGTAACTTTAAAAACTATATTCAAAAATATCTCTTGACAGTTCGAGGGTTGATCGGAACTGAATTTTGATCGAACTTTTATTACGATAATTGGCCTTCTGTTTAGATAACAGTTCCAGCAGAAAGCCTGTATTCCAAATACAAGTTAAACATGACAGATTCTTTCAGATACTACATACAATATTCGAAGATATGTAATTATTATTTATTTGGAATATGTAGTCTTTAATAAAAAAAAAGTTTAGCACTTCTGTTGTAGCCTCAAATAATAACTTTATTTACAGTAAACTTGATACTAATAAGACATTTCATGTTGGCATGTGTGCGACAATTTTCACATAAACAACTGATCTTTAAATTATAAATGTAGCACCAAATAAATATTGATACAAATTCAAGCAAACATTCGAGATACTTACATACAAATGAACATTCTTGTAAGAAAAACCTCATATTTTTTTAATTATTCACATTTTTATACACTTTATGGGGTCATGTTCTAGACACTATGGCCTAACAGCTTAATTACATGGAATTCAAGCGATCACATTTTTTTAAAAATCCGATTGGCACTGTACATTATATATATATTTTCTTTTTTAACACTATTAAGCAAAAATTCTCCCAATTTCGCACATTACACAAATTTTATTCACATTTGTTTGGTCACTGTATAACTTTAGTTTGGTCACGGTTTTAACTTTAGTTCGGTCACGGCACTTTAACTCCCGTCACAACTTGTGTATTTAGTTTTGACACGCTTGCACATTATTTTGGTAGTGTAGTGCACTGTTTAGCCAAATAATGTTTTCAGGTCCTCCTCGTACAGAGCGATGACCAGCATTATGCCGATCCCCGTGGCGAGGCCCATTAGCTGCAGTATGCACTGGCAGAGGGTGCCTTCATTGCTATGTGAAGTGCTCAGTTCAGGCATCTGAAATAATAAGCTTACTATAGTGAGGTTTGTGACGTTATATAGTTATTACTTTTATGCGATACCTATGAGGAATGACTTTAACGTTTGACAGCTTATTGCATAAAACGTTGTTTTTATTTATTTCAGTGTTCATTACACCGTCCCTTGCACCCTGTATATTATATATAGGGATATATAGTTATCTGATGTACACAGTTATTGGGGTATGTATAGTTTTGGCATATTCCCAAAATTTTATATAAAAAAAACTCCTTTCCAAAATAATTACTCTGTGTTTATATTTTGGAAAAGAGACTGATCTACTGGTGATCTGTAATACTGGTTATACCTATAATAGACACCAGCACACACATGACTTGAAAAAATAAAAAATAATTATTGAGGTATATATAGTGGTGGGGTATACCATGTCGACCAGCGCGATGTAGAGGAACATGCCGGCGGCGGCGGCGAAGAGCCAGCGCGTGGCGGAGGGCGCGTGGCCGGCGAGCACGCCCGCCACCATGCCGGCCAGGCACAGCCCCGACGACAGGATGTTGTAGCACACCGCGCGCTTCACCGACATGCCGGCCTTCAGCAGGACGGCGAAGTCACCTGGATCGAAAGAACATAAGTCTTGGTTAGGGTTTCGTACCCAAAGGGAGCCAACAGAATCCTATGTACTATGTACACGGAAACAGTTTTACCTTTTAACAGGTGTGTATTGCCTCTATAACAAAATAAAATTGAAAACTAAACGAGATCCCTAAAGGAGACAGTTGTTTTATTATAATACCCTTATTACACGACAGTGACTTCTAAATCGTGAAAATAATATGCTATTCGCTTGTGGAATGCAGCAAACACAATATACTGTAAAGTACTAGAGTTCAAAGAGTATTTTAGTTACAATAACGTTATTTTGTAAACAGGATATTTTGTGTTTTATACAATTTCATTTTCAATAATATTAATTTCTATAGGTTACCTAATTCGTGGGGTAATTCGTGACATAACACAGCAATGGCCGTCGAGAAACCACCCGCTATGTTTGAAGCAAAGGCAGCACCTGAAAACAATTCATTACATATGTACTTCCAATGTCTGATCCTCAAGAAAAGGAGGAAGATATGAAGAAATAGGACAACAGCAAAAGCCTGAAGCCCGTTTTAGAGTCATGTGGTGAATAGTGCCCAATCTTTATCCCGGAATCTATAGGCTAGTCAAATTGATCCTGAACATCCTCAACAGTCTTTGATAGTGGACATTGGTCTCTCCTTAGAAAGGAGGTTTTAGCCTACTATACCAAGCTGGCTGGCCAGACGGGTTGGTATAGGGTTTGTGTCAAATTTTCCTTCTCTTTGCTGTAATGTTATCCTGCAGAGTTTGCTCTTTTAGTCGGCTCTTGCGACACCCACGGGATGAATAGGAGTGGTGATACTCCGTATACTCAATTCGTCAACAAAGACGCTGTTTGTTCTCACAGATAAATGAAAGGCGTCTAAAGTCTAGCTTCTATTGAAGAATTTTAGGTATTGGTACCATTCTTACACCAGTAACGGAGGATCATCTGACCAGGCTGTCTGACCACACTTGTTTTATCAACAACAACAAAATATAACAACACATATTTGCTCAATTCTATAACGTAAACTTCAATTGTGCGTTTTAGAATCACTAGTTCGATGTAGTTCAAACACTTTTAGCTAGATGGCGTATTTTATATGTATGGGTACGGTATCACTAGTATGTGTGTCTTACCTATCGCCATTCCATCAGTGAAATTGTGTAGCCCATCACCCATGATGACCATCCACGCAACAGACGCAATAGACGAAGGCGGCGCATGGACGTGCCCGTGTGCGTGGGAGTGGCCGTGGTGGGCTCTGGAGTGCTCCCTGAAAAGGTATGTTTATATTAATAATATATGACCTCTAAATAAATATTAAATCGAATATTATTTGTTCTGTATTTGTTTTATAATATGTATATGTTTATCAGTAGTGTGGTGACCATAGTACAGGCTTTGCCTAGTTTGAGATCAGACGGCCGTGTATGAGATGTGTGATAAATTATATTATTATAAGTAAAGACCGCCATTGTAGACAATCCGAAATCAATCCCGCTAATGGACGGAAAAAAGAGTTCTTCAGGGTTGCGAAAACAAAAATTCATTTAAGAAATTTACAGAGATGAGTGGGTGTTGAATGGTAAAGCTACCTTAGATTCGACTTATAATTTAGAAATTGCAACATTTTTAAGTGAGAAGGTTTCCTCCCTTGTACATGTCACCGGAAATGGTGGTCAATAACGTTTAAAAAACGCGAAAAAAACCTAAGATAACCAAACCATTTCATGACCTTTTTTATGTGCTTAAATCCCCTCGGATACCATCTACCAGTGGCTATGTCGGACACGGTCATGACCTGTTCCTACTTAATGCAACTTAGATAATATGTAAAAACTCACCTCAAAATGACAGTATAGCTGTCACCGTCTTTCAGATCCTTATTTCCATCATCCTTATGCTTCATATTGTTCATCTCAACCACAGAAGCCCCTTCACCCTTCAGCAGCCAGTCCTTTGCTGTGGGTTCCTCTTTTGCCTCAGCATTATTCAGGGCATTTGAAGAAACCACACTGACAGAATTATTATGCTTCTTCGAATGCTTTGGACTGGATGGGATCCCATCTCTCAAATGATGGTCATCGTGCGTGTCCGTATCAATTTCATCATAACAATACGGATACTCTGAATACTTATGTTTACAAGTCTTTGTAGTAGGATCCCCCTTCTCATCCTTCTTGAATATCTTCATCAGAGTATTCGATGTAGAATTAGATGCCTTCGAACCTGAACATCCTCCACCAGGTTCATCTTTCAAGACACGAACTCTTGAAGGTAGTTTATCTTCCTCGAGCTTCTGACGACGTTTCCTCCACTCCACGACAACAGTTAGGCCCTTTTCAGTGAAATAGAAGAAGACTACTCCAAGCATAGCTGCCAAACCTTTCCACATTCCAGAATCGTGTGATTCCCTCGTGTCTACTTCAGTGCCATGAGGATTATGGTGATCGTGAACTGGACTCATTGCATGCGGCATAAGATGGAGTAAGGCATCTCCACACAACGTACCAACAGCTAATGCGACTAGGAATTGTAGAAGATGATTGTAATATGTCTTATGCATGATGGGAATGACGGCTACTCCTAAAAGACCACACGCACTAATAGCAAATATACTGAGGGATGAGTACAACCATACAGCATACATATTTTTCTCTCCAAACTCCTTATCAACATGTTTCAAGTTTGTTTCTGTTCTCGTCCCTATATTTTTTTCTATGACACATCCTGTACTTTCTAAAGAATTGTCTGCTACTTTCTGGTACAGGAGTATAGGGCATATGCTTTGAAGTGTTGATTCTGATACGATTGGTTCTGCATCATGATCTGCATCAAATAAGTGCTCGTGTTCGTGATCATGTGCGTGGGAGTGTGCGAGATCCTCGTGAGGTTGTAACCGTGTGTTCACTGTTGTAACTAGATCTGAACTGTTCATGCACTAGAAGAAACAGAGATCTCAATTAGGAAATCATTGAATACCATATTGCAAGAATCTAACATTGACTACGTCATGATGAATTTGATAATTGCATGAAATAGCCATATTTCATGACATAGTCACCCAAAATTGTTTAATCCCCAAAGTACACTTAAAAATATATATCTTTTTCAGTCCTTAGATCGCCTGATACTTAAACTTGTACTGACATGTTCATGCAACGGATAATCCTTTGTTAAATCTTTTTTGAGGAAGGATATTTACGATTAATCTCCGGGTTTGAAGGTATTTACCAAACCTAGATGCCTACGTCAATAGGCTTGCTTACAGTTTAGAAAGTATACTGTATGTCTGTAGAAGCTAATTCTGCATTTGAAAAACATGCAAATGTTTATTAAAACTGCCCAAAACTGGAGTTATTTACTAACCCTTGATTCTACGACAAACATGACTTGTGTGCAGTAATGAAATAAATTACAGAAAAACTGACTGCAGGTCGCATTGCAGTTATAATTCTGAACTCAATGAAAAATTTTGTTTTCCCGTTTGCTAAAACAGAGCAGATCTAAGGCGAACTAATACGAAACATTAAGTAATATAAAAAAACTTACATTATACGTGGTCTCTTTCTCTCCGTGGAAGTATCTTTTCCCATCGATCTTCGGTCCACCCATAATTAATTTATCCAGCTGCAGTTTATCCAGCATCCTATTAAATCCTGTTAAATTCATTGTCATTGTACTTGCATCTCCATACAATCGAAATATTTGCTTTATATATGTGTCTGGATTAATCTTGGTTTCCCTTTTCGCCCTCCCTTGTCTGATCTTCAATAATTTCTGATGATATCTTGGTGACAATTTTCTTTTTTCTTCTAAGTCTATATTCAGATGGTCCACATCTTTGATATTTGAGTCGTAAGTTAGGATACCGTCTTTTTGTATGTCTATGTGCGAGCCGCAGGTGTGCGCTGCGCATAATAGGCAGAACATGCATACTGTTACTAGGTGATGGGACATGGTTGTGCTTACGCTAACTAGAACTATATTATAATATAAGGCTAATCCATTGGTTCTGTAATCGGTTCTGGTTGGATTTTGCTGATCTGTGGACAAAGAGAAGCTTTTTGTTAGACTGGTAAAGAACAATTATTAGTACTGTTTAAATTATCAATAACGGATAGTTGACCTTGACAATCTGTATGTCGATAGTGGTATTATTGATTCTTAGCTATCGCTATTACGTGAAGTTACGTTTACAAAAGCAATTACAATATTATTGAATTATTTAATCCTACAGATAATTAAGGATCAAGAGTATGTCATCATCATCAGCCAATCGGCTTTCACTGATGAACGAAAGCCTCAAAATAATCTACAGATGGATATCACTTCTGTTCTTCAATATGAAAATCAGTAATAATCATCATTAATATGAAATGCATGTGTGTTTTATGGTTATTTCAACTGAATTATTTAAAAGTTTACACATTGCTTGCTGGTTTAAAAACCTATTTTACTGTTTATCTATTATTTGACTAATATTTAATAAAAGGTACGTACAAATTATTCAACTTACGATACAACGTACACCTTTCATAGACAAACAACAACAATGCTTTACATAATCAATGACCAGAGACATGAAAAAAAAACGACGGTAGTTTTAAAAACCAATAACAGTCTAGTCACAGGTCTGTTCCTTTTTTGTCTCAAATAGTTGTTAAAAATATCTAGTTTTGAAGTATACAGTTTTCCACGATGACCTTGTGCTAGATAGCCTGTAATGATTAGTAACTGTTTCCTATTGCGACCTTTGAACAATACCATGAAATATATTAAAATAAAGCGATCCAAAATCGCTACTAGAAGCCTGTGAACGCCCCAGGAGGCTTCTGCGCTTCTGGAAGGAGCTTGGTTGGCTCACTTAGCTAATCAGTCCTCGACGCATAAAGGACCACTCTTGAGTCTAAATGCGGAAACCGAAGCCCACAACCAATATTAAATTAAATAATTAAACGTTTTAATATTAATTACATTATTAGGCTGTTTTATTCAACTACTAGCATTATTTTCTTTCGATGAAAAGAACAATTGAAAATGAAGATTTGGCACAGATTTCCCCTCTTCGAGTTATATTCTTTTCACGCTCAAACTAACGTGGGAGAGCCAAGCTTCGGCACATCTATACAAATAAATAAAATTGAAGTGTCTTTTTTAAATGTCAAAATGTTTAAATTATTCATATCCTTTGCAATGCATAGAAAAACCACGATTCTCTTTAAGAAAATTGTAAACCAGTCTAGTATAATACGTCATAATACGTTATCTAATTTATTTAAAACTACATATAATTAAATAATATATTCACACTAACCTCAATTCGTCTAGGAAAGCCAAGGGCTGCAAATAACATCGAGGTGAACATTATAAACCCACTATATAAAACAAAGTACTTAGTACTAATCTAACAAATAATATAAATATAAGTGTACGTTTATTTGTTAGCCTTTACTATTCTCTGATCTAAAATTCTTAGAATAAAAACTATTCTATTAATTGAGGCAAGAAAGCTTCACTACTTGGAACAGGGCCCCCATCAGATTCGAAGCTAGTCGGGTATCCTCGAATTGTCTTTTTGGAGAATTCGTCGTCAGAACAGATACAGGCCTGAGAGGCAGCGCACCGTTATCCGTGCGCGCTTCTAGAGGACTACGACCGAAGGGTGACGAGACCCGTCTTGGGTGAGACGGTCAATGCCTGTGGGGGATGGCGGAAGAATGCATTTGCGATTCTCGTTGTTTTTTTTGATTGTGGAATTATACGCGGGTACCAAGCGAAGTCTACCTATTGATCGTTAGCTGCTCCGTGTCAAATCAATTTGTCACGGTTTCGACTATCCAATAAAAACATACTGTTTATTGTATCTCATTTACAGGGTACCTTAGTTCTAAAAAGAAACCGTTATAACTGCGCCATCTTCGTCCGTCTGTCTCCGGCTTAGCTTGTTGTCTGTTAGTTTTATATATCTATATTCTTGACTTGGTAGTTTTCCTTCCTCGGAGCCTTTTTTCCCAAACTACGTTGGGGTCGGCTTTAGGTCTACTACGATACGGATGAACTTCGATTTTTTTCCCCAAGCGACTGCCATCAGAGCTCCACAACCCAAGTACTAGGCGATACCGAAGTTCTGTAGAAAGACTGCTGCACTTTTTTTAGGGCTCCAACTGAACTACCCGTAACGATTGCCACAGATTCAGCATTCTGAACGTTCTCTTTTTGTTAATAAAACAGTTTATTGTAAGTAATCAATCTCAGAAACATGATCACCCATCGCTTTCCAAACCGATACATAGGTATATACAATGGAAAGTGTTCTACATGTTAACGTTAATAAGGCCACGGCAAGTAGTGCATAACAATTATAGCCGTCATATTTTATTTATAGCGTTGTATAACGCAGGCTTAAACCTGGGTTTTAGGTCATTTGTGTGCCCTCTCCTCTAGAAGGGAGTGAGGAGGGAGACTTGGGCCTCCTTTAACTTCATCTACTCGGTGATTCCTATGAGACCGCAGCACAGTTCTCCCATGGTCGGCAAAATTTAGGTTAAGTATAATATTTAGGGGGGTAAACGAGCAGTTGGGTCCCGTGATAGTAAGTGATTACAGCCGCCCATAGATACATGCAAGTCAAGAAACATCACAAATACGTTGTTGCCCTATGAGTCATCATCACGATCAACAGCCTTTAATAGTTCACTGCTGGACATAGGCTTGTCCTTAGAAAGTAGGTTTTGGCCTACTGTACCACACTGGCCAGAAGGGTAGGTATAGGGTTTGTTTCAAGGTTCCTTCTCTTTGCAGTGCTGTTATCCTGCTGGCCCCTTAGTGGGCTCTTACGACATCCACGGGATGAACAGGTGACACTCCGTATTCCTAATCCGTCACCACACGGACAATGCTCCCCAAGAATTAGATGGGAAGATTTCGTTTGGGTATCAAACCGGTCGAGTCAGCATAACACTGCCACGATGAAATATATTTAAAAAGGCTAAGGCAACCGCGATCAAAACTTCTAATATCCATACTAAGATTATAAATTTGAAAGTGTGTTGTCTGACTGTTACCTCTTCCCGCTTAAACCGCTAAACTGATTTGGTATAGAGATAGTTTGAGGACATAGGATACCTTTACATACATAGGCATACACGCGGGAGGAGCCGCGGGGAAAGATAGTATGACTTAACTCCAACCCCTACATACAAGGATTGTCATTTATATTTAATGAACACTGCCATAGCTTCGTCATGGTATTTACGAACCCGTGACCTTGTCGATATAATATATTAACGAGTTCTATCTATTATTCAGTACATAATACCCACATTTGAGTCTATTTTATTTACGTTCTATCGATATTATGGCAGACTGCTACTACGTAATATTTTCGTATATTACTTTGAATCGATCTAATTGGCGTGCAATGGGAGAGGCCTATGTCCAGCAGTGGACTGCGGTAGGCTTATATACTAGCTGGTAGCTGCCTTAGTGACTTCGATTCCCGTGGGACCGGGTAAAATTTTAAAGGGGTTTTCTGAGAGGAAAAATAGCTTAAGTTACTCCTTGTATAGACAACTACCTGGTAGTAAAATATTATGAAAATCGGTGCAATCGTTTAGAAGATTACCAGGACAAACAGATGGACAGACAAAAAAAACTGGTTTATAGGCATAGGTATCGTGCAAATAACCGTGCGAGTATGAAAGATACCTATTATTTTGACATTAAAAACAGACACTTTAATTTTATTTATTTGTATAGATTACGCGAAGAAAATTGTCAGTCAAAGAACTATACCGTATACGGATCACAAACGATCACCTCATGTTAAGTAACTACCACCACTCATAGACACTTGCAACTCAAAGAGTTACAAATGCGTTTAGCTTCCTCAAGTCAGTGAGTTAGAGGAGGTTGACTCTCCGGTAACAAAGCCTAAACAGGGGTCCCCCCCCCCCCCCCAATTCTGGATGACTCTTGAGATGTAGGTGTCTTTCCGTCTGCTCGTTTGCCTCTATAACATAAAAAAATCATCCAAATCTCCCCTGTATTTTCCAAGTCCACAATTTTCGACTGTTTTATACTACATTTACACAGTAAAATGCGTAAAAAATACATTATCCGTGTGGTGACGGATTAAGAATACAGTGTCACCACCCTTATTCATCCCGTGGGTGTGGCAAGAGCAGACTAAGAGAGCAAACCACGCAGAACAACGAGAAGGAAAACTTGAAACAAACCCTATAAGAACCCGACTGGCCATCGTCTTAAATAGGCCAAAACCTCCTTTCTAAGGAGAGGCCTATGTCCAGTAGTGTACCATTTAAGGCTGTTGATAACACAGTTAAAACCGATAACTATGGATATTTACACATAACCCATTAACACACGTTGCTTTTTCGTGATAGACTAATTCTATTTTTCTAGAAAATGTTACTACACATAGTATTACATAGACAGCAATCACACAATAAACATTTTTTGTTATCAATATTCTAACAGTTTCCAGTCCTCCTATTACGTGAATGGATTTAAAACTCAGTCGGCAGTGTGGCCGTTTAATACGCCTCTGTATACCCCTTTGGGAATAAAGGTGCGATAGTATGTACTTATCCATACTAATATTATAAATGCAAAAGTGTGTCTGTCTGTTATCTCTTCACGCTTAAACCGCTGAACTGATTTAGATGAAATTTGTTATAACGATAGTTTGAGTTCCAGAAAGGGACATAAGATAGTTTTTATCAAAGAAATTACCCTTTCAAGGCGTGAAAAGGGGGGGGGAGAGTTTGCATAGGAAATCAATAACTGCTGTCCCGATTTTAATGAAATTCGGTATGAAGAGACTGATTGCTGAGGAGACATAGGCTACTTTATACCGTGATGACCGATATTTGCGCGGGCCAGGCAGAAGCCAATATAGTATATATTTAACATAAAGTTCTCGGTCATATGTTAAC